GTAAAAGGCTGACCCTCCAATCCTTTTTCTTTGCATTCACCCATTCCCTTCTATTTCCCCTCTTCTCTGCCAAACTCTGTTTTCACAAAACAAAAAAAACGACTCGAAAAAACCCCGTGTTAGCTTGATTTTTTGAGGAGCTTATTTGAAAATAGCCGTGCGAAAATTGTATGAGTAAATTTAGTAGCAATTTTTTGTCTTTGAGAATTTTCGAATCAAAATCATTCCAACGCGCCCTCGAGAAAAAAGGAAAGCTATTCAAGTAAATTTTTTTAAATGATAACCTTAAGAAAGTTATACTTAAAACCATTAATAAGGAACTGAGAATCATAGCTTTTTTTATATGATTGACCCTTCGAGCCGCGCACAACCGGTCAACGGCACGCTGCCGATATATGGGCTTACAGCGTGGCCCATAATTGTAGGTGCAAATAAAAGACTTTGTAGGTAGACAAAACCAAACTTTAGAGAGGAAAATTTTGTTTTAAAATCTTTATTTGATAGCAATGAACAAGAAATTAGCAATTAAATTCAAAGCGATCGCGATTTTGACAAAATCATTCCAACGCGCCCTCGAGAAAAAAGGAAAGCTATTCAAGTAAATCTTTTTAAATGATAACCCTAAGAAAGTTATACTTAAAACCCAGAATCATAGCTTTTTTATATGATTGGCCCTGCGAGCCGCGCACAACCGGTCGACGGCACGCTGCCGAAATTACAGAGCGTCCCATAATTGTGGGTAGACAAAATCAAACTTTAGAGAGGAAAATTTTATTTTAAAATTTTTATTTGATAGCAATGAACAAGAAATTAGCAATTAAATTCAAAGCGATCACGATTTTTTAACGCTGTCAAGCGCCTAGGAAAGGCGTCCACGGTGGTGACCAAGTAAGCATCATCGAGTTCATCGCAGGCTTTCAGAAGACTTTCCTTCAAACTTTCAACATTTTTATGTCTTGTTGCCTGTCTTGTTGCCTGTCTTGTTGTCTGTCTTGTTGCCTGTCTTGTTGCCTGTCTTGTTGCCTGTCTTGTTGTCTGTCTTGTTGCCTGTCTTGTTGCCTGTCTTGTTGTCTGTCTTGTTGGTGTTGTTTGAATGTTCAAATTTGATTTTTGAAATGATTTTGTGCTCAGTGCAAAATTTCAGCTTTGAGGAGATCGAGATAGTTAATAATACAGGGTGACCAGAAAGATTAATAATAGATAATATTGCACCTATAATTATGGGCGACCCTGTAATCAACTTCCAATGTTTATACGGATCCTTAGCACCAATGAAATTGAACAATTTACACAAATTTTAAGGTTTAAATTTTTTTCCAATTAAAATAAACTAAACTTGATATTGGATACCCTTTCTGAGGCTTTTTGGTGAATGCTCTTTTTCGATAAAAATGTCAAAATCGGCTGACCTTGATACGAGAAAGTTTCTATCCAAATAAAAACACAAAAATCATCGTTTTAAATATAATTTTATTAAGGTTTTCATTTTTTAAAAAGTTTAATTGAATAGCTTTTCTGAATGATTTTAAAATCAAGTTTTAGTAAAAAGTTGTATGAGAACTTTTGAATCATCTTGTACAATTTTTAAAGAGAATTTTTTATTAGAGGAATTTGTTTATTAGAGCTATTAGAGCTGTATGGCTGTTAGAGCAGCAAAAATCAAAACGTTTTATTCGAAAGTTTTTTGGAAAGTTTTGGATGCTAGTGATGGTTTTTTTTATAGAAGAGGACCACACACACGGGGTGAAAGCAAGATGAGAGAAAGGAGGATTCTTGCGAACTCCATCTTGGGTAAACTTTCACTCTTTTCGAAGGAAAGGAGTGCAAAAGAAAACAAAAGAAAAGAAATCACGGTGAAAGAGAATCGAACGGTGACAGCCTTTTCTTTTCTCTTTTCTCAAAGAAGGCATTTTCTTCTTCTCCATTAGACAGACTCTCTTCTTTTACTCACCTCCATTCTACTCATCTTCACCATTCAAGATCTTGTTATCTACAAAGCTTTGTTTCTCGTATTTTGATTCTAAATTTTATTTTTCTTTACATCACTTTTCCCCTATTTTTGGGATATAGTTTCCCATTGATCACTTGTTGTGTTGTAATAATAAATAGCTTTTGGTGGCGGCCAGCCTCTTGTTGCCAAATCTATTGTCTTTTATTGATAGTAGCAATATCAAAGAACATTACTCTATAGGGAAATTACCTCTTCACTATATAGCAATGAGGTAATTTCCCTATATAGCAATGTTCTTTGATATTGCTACTATCAATAAAAGACAATAGATTTGGCAACAAGAGGCTGGCCGCCACCAAAAGCTATTTATTATTACAACACAGTATTTTGATGCTCTATGCTCAATTTTCAAGAATTTCTTTTCACTTAACAAAACGAAAAGCGTGTGATTCTTTGAACAGACAGTTCAAAGTCATGAATCCAAGAGAGGGAAAAAGGGGGTCATCTGGGGGGATGGGAAAGGGATGGGAAAGGGATGGGAAAGGGATGGGAAGAGGAGAGGGTGTTCGTGGGGGGTGTGCTGCCAGTCGAGGGGTTTTTGCCCCTATCTCGCAAGAGAGACCGGAGCGGTTTTTGTGGAGCACTCGTCGTCTGCGCGCTCCCCCCTTTCCCCGGGCATCGCTTTCCCCCGAGCCCCGTTTGCCCACCCGTCGAATTACCGTTTTTTTTTGCATAGGTCTCTGTGCGTGCCGCGATGGGGTAGGGGAGTCTCCTCCCTTACCCCTGTCTCATGTCTCATGGGGAGATTGCGAACGCCTCCCCATGTCTCCCCTCTCACTCCACTCTTCTCTTTCCCTCTTGGCCTTTTGCCTTTTTAGCTCCACTTTGCTTTATCTAACATCTAGCATCAATGCACATTCCTTTACCGCCCAAGATGTTCAGATTTTCAGTGCTGATTCGAACTTTTTTTGAGCAATTTTCTTTTATCCTTTTATTTTTGTTAATATCTTGTTATCATTATGATCAATCAAAACACAAGATTTTTGTTTATTTGTTTATGCGACGATCTACAATAGTCAGAATAAAAACTAGAAGTTCTGTTCTTTGAAAAATTTGCCTTCACTGAGGCAAAGGGTCATAAAATTGAAGAGCACCGACTTGCAACATTTCGCGTGCTTTGGCGTGTCTGTCTTTTTCCGTTCGGGTGTTCACTTGTGTTCTCTTTTTTCCTGAGCAACAAAAAAAAACACACACAGACAACTCAACCCGGCGAAAAGGATCGCCAAGACGGTGATTATCGTGCTCGTTTCTTTTATGTTTTTGCACTTTGCTATTTTTTTTCGCTCGTACTTCCAATTTTCCCATCTTTGTATTCATTTGAATGATGAGCGACCTACTTTAAATTCAAATGTTGCTTTTAGCAGCATTTGTAAAATTTTGTCCGTAAACATTTCCAAAATATCAACTTTATGCTTTCTTATTTTAAATAAGAATCAATCAAAAACATTTGGAGGTATGGAGAATTGAACCCTAGATAGGATAGGAACCTCTGGGATGGGAAGCGACCGCCCTAGCATTGAGCTATAAAGGCCGTTGAGATTGGGCAGTTGATCGGCAGTAATTCAGTGGTTGCTTTAATATTGGTAGATCTTTCGATGTTAAACCTCGAATGTCCAATCCATTCTTTTCCATAGCTCATGTTGCACGCTTTATGGGCGGCCATTCACCCCCTCCGTCACGGAAACGAGCACCTTTTTTTGTGGAAAGGGTTTCTCGCCGAAAAGAAACGTCTTTCAGATTCCGAGCTCAATCACTTTCAAGCTTCTCAGCTATCTTTTTCTCAAAGATTACGGTATTTGCATTTTTTTATGGGAAAATGGTGAGTTGCCTCCTCGGTTCCACGCGTTTGTCTCATCGAGATCAAATCGAAAGATTAGCTTCTTTTTTTTTCCTCAAGTTCTCCTTTGTAAACGAACGGGAGTAGGCAATGAAATTTTTAATTAACATTGACTTGAGCAAGAGATGAGTAGAACAAGGGTAAAATCGGTAGCAATTACACATTGTTCAGAATCGTTCAAGCGTATCGTATAAATTATAGGATAGATTGGGATGGTCTTTATGAGAGAAGCGGACAATGAGATCAACTCCAAACTGCTTTTACCTCGATTTTCATTTTATTGTTTACCAATACAATATGCAATTAACCTTCTTTAGAAATTCTTTTGTTTTCACTTTCAATTAATAGTTGATTTTGGATTGAATCAAACTAAAAACTATCATTTTAATCAAACTAGATTATTGTTACTATAATATAGCAGCTTACAATATTCCTTCTTGGCTTCTTCTTCAATATTGTCCTTCTTGGCTGCTGTGTATGCTTTTGATTAATCTACAAAAGCTTATCTAATCAAAAAAAACCTACCTATCCTTTTTTTCAAGCAATCAAATTTTTTTGTCTAAAAGATTAATGGGTAATTCACCTACCACCTGGCCTTAAAATGATGAATATCTTTTGGTAGTAGACTGCATTCAAGGTTGCTTTAAAATCTAAAGAACCATTTCATTTTATTGTCGCTTTTATCGCTTTTATGCAAATGTTTTCTTTAACGCAACATTTCGTCCATTGAGATGGAGAAGGACATCCATGGAATGGATGACCGCCAAAATTTTGGGTGTTTTTGATGTCTTTCTTCGTGGAAAGTTCAATGTCAACAAAAAAAAGACTAGCATTAGGCTTTTCAGAAAGTCTTTTCGTTCTTTTCTTTTCATATTTCCGTTTAAAACCAACAAATACTTTGTTTGTTTGTTTCATTCATTAGAAACATTCATTCATTTCATTGTTTCATTCATTGATCATTAGTCAATTTGTTATTTTTTTAACAAAAGTATGAAAAGAAACGAAAAGATTTGAAAGCCTAATTTGAAAATATTCTTTGCAAACAAATCATTCAAAGTCCCTTTTCCCAAATGTTTCCTTGCATTCTTTTTGAATGCAAATTTTTTTGAGTCAAGTGTCTGTGAAAGAAAAAGGGAAAGATTCCCCCATTTAATGGTGGCAGCTGGTCTGATTCAATGGAAACTTTCGAGCGATCCCTTCAAAACTTGTATTTGATTGTGGATACGAAAAAGACAAAGAGTTTTAAACACCTTTTCTAATTTGAGGCCTACCCGAAAGGGAATGGGATGCGTCTCGCTTATCAGTGACCGTAAATGTGACAGCTGTCAAACTTGTTATCGTTCATTTTCGCCCTTTGAGTTTGGGGTAGGGCTATTGCTAGACGCAAAACATAAAATAAGTTTACAAGTTTACATTTTTGGTAATTGATTTGTAAGTTTTTGCAAAGTGTTTGTCTAATCACGATCTGAATCTTTTTGTTATCTGAGCTGAACCTGAAAATGAGTTACTCTTTCAGCGTCTGCGAAAGCGTTTGCGAAAGCGTTTGCGAAAGCGTCAGAGTTTTTCTTTAACTCAATGAATTACCATTTATATTTGTAGATGTTTTTGCAATATTTTAAATAGAAGAAAAGCTGTTATCGTTTAGGATTACTTCGAAAAACAGAGCCGGCTCGAGTGGAGAGGCTTGGCGGTATCCAACCTCGGTTTGTTGTAGAGATTATCTATTAATAAACAGCTTCCTTACATTTTACGATCCAAAAAAGAAATAATCCTAAACATCTTTCCTTTGGTCGCAAAAACGGCCCAAAATACAATGCGATGATCACTCGATAGTTTACATTTTTGTCAGGGGCAAGCGAGCCATCTGCGCTTGCGCTTGTCCCTTTTTCTACAGCCAACGAAAATGATATTTGTAAAGAATTCTAAAAGAGAAGGCTCTAGAAAGAAACATAAGCAATATAGCAATATTTCAAAGAGACAAAAAAACAGTGAAACATTTAGGGAGAATGTCGCGGCCAAGAACTTGAGAACTTGAGCATGTCTTTTCCGCAGACTGCCACTCATCCCACGGTAGCTATGTTTTGAAATAAGAACTTTTGATAACTTTAATAACTTTTATAACTCTTTGCTTGTGCATACAGAGAATAAAGAGAATTTTTTCAGGTCGCTACTCATTTCATCGCGCATCAGTTGGCCATGAATCAGTAAGTTTTACTTTTTCGAAACCGTAAAACGATCGATCTTTGTTTTCAAAATTATCCGACTGAATCTCTCACGAGGTTTTCTTTATTTCTTTATTATTTCCCGGGGCTTTGACAAAAAGTTTCCATAAAGAGTCTTGGTAGAGCTTAGATCAAAGGAGAGATACTCGTGGGGGGTAAAAGAGTGAGAAGAGAGAAACAAAAAGTGTAAAAGAGAGTGAGAGAAGAGAGAAACGGTTGGTTGTTTCGAGCCACCGGGCGAACGCCATAATTTTTGGCGTTTTTGTGCTGTTAGCCGGCTGAAATAGAGGCCGTTTGGGCAAGGGTCGGCGGGGTCCAACACACACGAGAAAAACCCCCATCATTCCCTCCCCGCCACATAAAATCAGGCGATGGCTCAATTGCAAAATGGCCCCAAGAAAGGGGAAATGGGTTGAGGGACTCTCGTTCATTTCTCTCTCTTTCCAAAATAATCTCAACGTTGAATATTATACAACTTAGATACCTAGTCTGCTTTTTTTCTTATTGAAATCACGCTAATTAAGCCCTCTCTCCACGAGCATTTATTCCTGTGCCCTTTGCGTGTTTTTAGCTACAAATTGTGAGAAAAGGGGTTATTCATTTTGAAAAAAATCTTATAAAAAATCCTCGAGAGAAGCCCGGAAAAAAAATCGCTGAAAAAAGGCGGCCGGCACAAGGCACGATCACCCAAAAAAACAGCTGAAAGACCATAAAATGGCAAAAGGGAAAAAAGGAGGGGAAAAGAAAAGGGATCAAGATGCAGAATGGAAAAGTATGGAGAGGAGAAGAAAGCTGGAGGTGAGGGAAGGGGAAGAATTCCTTAGATTGGACCTTAAATTACATTCACTTTCATTCATCCTTCACGAAAAGATTCCTCTCGACTTTCACAACATTTTGATACTTTGATTTCATCTTAATAGGGATTTTCTAAACATTGAATGGCTGAGTGTGCAGAAAATTATAGCGGAGACAAATTTGAGTTGTAAGTCAAAGGTTGTAAGTACAAAGGCTCATTGGTAGAGATAAAAACATAGAGAAAATCTCAGTCAAAGTTGGACTATCTATTTGGAAGAGTCGATCAACTTAAATGGTCTATAACTCAAGATCTAAAAGTCGAATCAACTCAGGGTTACTTTTATTAGAATCTACATGAAATTTGATTAAAGAAATATAGAATTTATTTTGTAGACTTATCGATAAAAACATAGAGAAAAGTAGAGTTAAAGTCGAGATAAATTGTAGCTTAGGTAGTTCTTGAGCTTAGGTAGTTCTTGACTGTTAGCTTGGGAAATGAAATCTAAAGATTGTGAGATCGAAGGTTATTTATTGAAAAAGTTCTAGTATGCGTTTGTTTGCACCTCCGGGTATATCAGGAGGGATCCCGCCACTCACTTCACTTCCATGGACGAATTTTCCATGGGCTTTTCATCGAAGTTCGTTTTTACTTTTTTTTTGTGTATAAACAAAAATCATTTCATCATATCATTTCAAAAATAGAAACTAAACAAGTTTTTCTAGAAGTTAATTATAAATTTATAAATAAGAATTTCATAGCCAATAAGTTCATCAAATCAAATCTTGATCTCAGCTTTTGTCTGACCGTGCGTAACACTTCTTCTCTAGAGTTTTATTATTCGTTTTGCTATTAGTAATAGCTTAGGTAGTTCTTGAGTGTTAACTTGGGGAAATGAAATCTAAAGATTGTGAGATCGAAGGTTATTTATTGAGAAAGTTCTACTAAAACGAATACTGAAAAAAAGCACATAATTAGTTTATTTTCTTAAAAAGTCCGTGAGTTTGTTCGATTCGATAAGTCAGCCGATGTGCATAGTCGATTATATTCAATTAATCGATTCAATTAATTCAATTAATTCAATTAATCAATTATATTCAACGCCGTTTTCCCCCCGACCCAAATCGGGTAATTCTTTCGGATTTCCCGTTACTGTATAGAAAAAGAGAAGCGGTGAATTAAAAAAGATTAGCTGCAAAGAATTTTCTTATAGTATTTGAAAAATGACCGTGTGACAGACTATTTAACTATTCACGATTGCAATAAAATATTCAAAGCTTTGATTCCTAAATCGACTTTTTAATTTCTGATTCAATATTGATTCAATTTCTGATTCAATATTGATTTTTCTTTGCATAACCAGATAAATTTCCACTACAATTATCGAATTGCTTTTGGCAAAAAAGTTTGAAAAACGGACGCCGAATAATTGCCATTTAAAGTTGTTATGTGTATTCTTAGCCCAGCAAAAAAAAAGTTAGTCATTTATTTCTATTATTAATAGTTTCTTTATGTATTTTCTTTTTTTTAAGAAATCTTTGCCTTTTGATCTGATCTTGATCTGTCTCTGCCTCTTCCTGTTTTTGTTTTGAAGTTGTTAAAAAAATCTATTTACTTTAGAAGAAATAGAAGAAATAAAGGACCATTTGAGATAAACAATAGCTTTTGTAGCAAAGTTTTTAAGGTGCTCCTCAAGAAGAATTCCATTTTCCATTTCAACTTCTTTTCTTGTGATTTTTTTGAAATTTAGAGTTTAAAAAGTGGCCATATTTGAAAGAAATAACCTGTGAAATATTTGAAAGAAATAACTTCTTTCCGGTGTTACCACTACTGATACTATTAAGGTGGAATGGAAAGAAAGTTAGATTTTTAAAAAGCAAGAGATTTTAATAAAAGAAATAAGGGGTTTATCATCTCTCAATTTTCCCTTTTTGCATCTTTGGTTGAGTTCTCTGATGCCCTCCGGGGACTCTATCTTTCCATCCAGTTCAAGAGATACGGAGATGGAAAAAAGCATTGGCCGGCCAATGTTTGCTCATTTTTCTCCCATTAGATCGCACTCAAATAAATCGATCACAATTAATTTTTTGTAGTATTTTGTGAGTGCTTTAAGATGATAGTCTTAGATTTTTGATGTCGCTTTAAATAGAATCCTTCAAGCTTTCAAGCATAAAGGAGTAAAGTCCTTTTTCTCAGATTTTGTTCAAGGCTTCATAACTACCAGTAGCTTTTCATTTTCACCAGAAAAAAAATTGATAAATGCCATTATAATTGGAATTGTTTTCAATGGTATCCATTCATTCTTCACATACAGATTTTAAAGAATCATACTTAAATAAAGTTTTTTGATCATAAAACTTTTAGTTCAAAGAATATCGAAAAGCTAAATGATTCATTTTCACAACTTTTAAAAATGCTAAATACAATGGTGGAAAAAAGTATTGGGCCCCCATTGTAAGTAAAAACACTCTGGGCGAGCGGCCAATGATTTTTCTCCAACACTGTATCATGGTTTAAGAGGAGAGGCTAGACCATTGACTCTCTAGAATGTTTTACAAAGCCTTTTTAAGCTTTTTTGATTCACCTCTTCATTCCCCAATACTAGCATCTACCGATTGCGGGGAACGGGGTGGGGCCACAAACGGCCGATTTCAAGAAATACCATGATTTCAGAGGAGAGACTAGACTCTCTTCATTCATTCTACTCTCTAATATTTCTCTAGCTTTTAGCCCATTGGAGGATAGCGCACACACACGATGGTGGAATTGCCTGGGTGGCCCCGATCGATTGTCATTTTACTCTCGTTTCCGCCTTTTTTTTATTGATTTCTCCGATTACTCCTCTTATCACCAGCGATGGCAGAAGAGAAAATGGCTCAAAGTTTTTTGTCATTTGAGTAAACTCTCAATAAAATCTGAGAGAGAAATTGTCGATCGATGATTGAAAAATTTGCTTTCTTTTTCCCTTTTACCCTTCAATCTTCTCAATCCATTATTTTCTTTCGATTTCAAAACCTCCAGAAATTCTTTCAATTATGCGAATATTCTTTGCAAGTGTATTAGTTTTTACGTCTCTGTTGTCTCTCTTGTCTTGGAATTGAATCTTGGATCGATTCACCACAGTGATAGCAGAACAGGTGGGAAGAGACCGAAACGGGCACAGGTAGAGCTCCGAAGCGCATCAGAGAATTCAGCCCAAAAATGTAAAAAGGGAAAAGCGAAGATGAACAACCCCTTATTTCTTTTATTAAAATATTAAAATCATCCGTTTTTTTTAAAAATCTGCCTCTCTCTTTCCATTCGACGTTAATAGTAGTATTCGTAGTCGTATCACCGAAAAGAAGTCATAGATTATTTTTTTCAAATATGTCAATATATTCAAATCAAATTTTTCATTTTTAGAGATACAAGAATATACTTATTTTTTGCCTAGAATATCTTTATTTCTTAAATTACGGTTTATATTGTTTGTTTTTTTGTTTTTCTAAAGAACTGTAACTCTTTCTTGTATTCATTGAAAGTACGAGTCGTAACTCGCCAAAAATGAGCGCAGCCCTAATGGTTGTTGGTAGTGAAAAGCACAAAAGTTGACTCATGAACGTTTTTGAAAAATTGATCGCACCATATAACCGGGCAGGTGGAAGAAAAGGGAGGAAAGTCTAGATATCTAACGCCTCTCGCTTTCCACAATATCTCAGCGTCGCCGGGCTGCGGGAAAAGGGGGGTAGGGGCACAGAGCACATTTCGAGAAATATCGTGGTTTAAGAGGAGAGGCTAGTCTGCGAGACCATTGATTCTCTTCATTCATTCTACTCTCTAATCTTTCTCTACTTTTGGGGCGAAAGCACACACACGACGGTGAAACTCCCCCGCCTGGGTGGCCTCGATCGATTATCTTTTTGCTCTTCGTCTTTCTGAAATTACATCCAACCTCTTTCTCGACAACTTTTCTCCTTTCCATTTGATTTTCCAGTTTATATTGTTTTTATATTACCATGATAAACGAAACTTGTGATTTCAGTGAGTGGTGGGAGAGCCGGTCGAGAGAGAGATTCTCACTCGTCAATTGCTTGTAACCCATCGTCTTCAACGATTTTCTTGAGGATTCCATTGAAAACTTCGATAAATCCACAACCGATGCAAGTTGCTCAGAGGAGAGCAGCGGAAGACGGAGAAATTGATTCGATTATGGAATGTGAAACGAAACCTAGCGCCGGTATCAAACCATCAGAGACAGCAAAAAGGCCGCGCATACGCTACATCTTGAAAGTGCCAAAATGTACACTCAAGGAGAACATTAAAAGACCCGAGCCGAGACTTCCAGAAAAATCTCCAGAAAGATTACCATTACCGATGGAAATCCGATCTCCGATGGAAACAAAACCAGAAATAAATTGTGTGCAAGACTCGCCCATTACTGCCACAAATTTCGTCCTTTCTATGCCAACCATTTCTTCTGACACTAAACCTGAACGAGCTTTATCGCCGTTTACCTTACCGCCTTTCACTTTGCCTTATGGTATCGGATTTTCCATTGGAAGATGCATATACACAATGGCTCCAAGTAAGATTAATCTATGTGAGATTGTCAGAATAAAAAATAATTCGTAGTTTATACCTCACGTAGTGAGATGTAGACAAGAATATTATTGGTAGATACCAAATTAAATTCACATTTAGGCTTTGGTCGAGCTACGACGACCATGGTGGCGAGTGATGCCTCAAGGGTTCCTGAAGAAAGTGGGTTTAATTTGAATAAATCTTTAAAACAAAAGCTTTTTAAAATAAAGAATATTGATAAATGGTAAAAAAGATAAGATATGACTTTTGAGTGAAGTGCTTCGGTTATAAAGAAGGCTAGAAAATGACTCTGCGGAATTTGGAGAAATTTTTTGTCTTTTAAGAAACCCCACCTCCCTTATTGGATCATTTGTCAAAAAATTCGGTCTTGCATTTTCTCTCTACTCACAAAAAAAGAGTCACTTAGGTAGTTTTTGTTCAAGAAAAAGTGTGAAAATACATCGATATTTGGACTGAATTCAGCCATTCCATATATTCTTTAGCGTATTTATCAGTTTTCAAACAAAACTTTGGCGCTGCTCAATATGAATGATAACTCGGTAAATTTTTCCTGTTGCTAGACCTCCTATTCTCTCAAAAATCTAGACGTATTTAGCCAGACAGACAAGAAAAGTGTAGACAAGAATCTTATTGGTAAATGCTAAATTCAATTAACATTAAGGCTTTGGTGGAGCAAGACCAGCAGCTTGGACGCTTCCAGTGGCGAATGATGCCACACGGATTGCCGAAGAAAGTGGGTTTAATTGGTTGCTAGAGCTCCTATCCTCTCAGAAAACTAGACGTATTCAGCAAAATTAGGATGCCTTTTTCAGTGATCGCTCGAAGGCAGCGCGTGGATTTGATTGGAGAAAGGTTGAGTGCGAATAACATTCAACCAGTTTTGCCAGGTAAAATCTTTTAAATTTTCCCATTCAATAGCTTTTTTTCAGTTTCCTCTGCTCCCGCATTTGTTGCTCCCCTTCCACCGGTGGTTTGTTTTTCAAAATTTAACTAATTTATGATTTTTCCAGATCGATGATACGAGTGCTTCAACGGAGGATTTTCCAACAACTTCAGCCGATCCGAAACCAAAACTCCGTGGTACTAATATAAAATGAAAATTACTGGATAATACAAATTTCAGGCCGCCCTAGTGCTCGGAAAAGAGATTTGCCAAAAGTTGACGATAGATTACACAAAAAGAACGGCACTCGTGTAAAGTAAGTTCTAGAAAAAAATGAATTTGCTTTACAAATCGAAAAATGAAAGCTAATTTATGATGTGTAAGACACACAATGTAATTAAAGGAAAAGGAGAGAGCGGACACCGGAGGAAGATCCAGAGAGCTCAGCAGAGAGTGACACGGTCGACATCGAGTCGATGGAAGAGTTTGTATGCAAATGGGAAACATGCGAGAAAGTGTTCACAACAAAAAAGGTTTAGTGTGTATAATTATACCCAAAAATCGTCCATGAAAATTCAGCCCTTCATTGATCATGTTCGAAACACTCATGTCGATCCAACTATTGAGCACAGTTGTGGGTGGAGCGATTGTTCTAGGTAAGTGCTCAAATATTAGGTGAATAAGCCTTTTCCTTCCTTTTCATCTCTCCTTTTCACCAACCTATTAACTCTAAAAGTTTCAAGTGAACTTTAGAAAGAAGCCCTTCCGAGCTCTCTACATGTTGGTGGTTCACGTAAGACGGCACACTGGAGAGAAGCCACACAAATGCGAAGTTCCTGGATGTTCAAAGGAATACAGTCGCCTCGAGAATCTCAAAACGCACGAACGATTTCACACCGGCGAAAAGCCATACAAGTGTGGGGCACCGAATTGTGATAAGGTATACAGTACAATCCAATACAAGCCAATCCATTGTTTCAGGCGTTCAGCAATGCTAGTGATCGAGCCAAACACACGAATCGAACCCATTCCAATGAGGTGAGCTAATAAAAGAAGAATTTAACAAAGTGCCACAATTTAGAAGCCTTACGAGTGTGGATATCAAGGATGTACGAAGGCTTACACCGATCCATCAAGCCTTCGCAAGCACGTTAAAACCGTGCACGGGGATGAAGTCTATGAAAAGTTGAAGATGAACAAGCTAATGGAAGCTGGTGGACGATGGCCGAAAAAGGTTTAGAAAAAATACAGATCTTAATTTTAACAATATATTAAGTTTAAGAGCAAGAAGAAGGATTGTGGCTCAAAAGATCGAGAAAGCAACAGCAGCCCTGACTCTGCAGGACCTTCATCGGTAGTTGTTAACAAATGTTGGTTAATTTTTATACTATTGTAGGAAAATCCGGGCTCGGTGGAGACTGTTGGAATATACGATCCAAACAATAAGTCTGACCGAGAGGGTGAGACGAGTGCGAAAAATGGAAATGAGAAGCCGATCAGTGGGCTTCGGTTCACCGTTGAAGGATATCTCACTGCTGATGCCGAATTGGGAGAAAGTTTGTTACGAAATCATTTCGCATATCAAAACACTTGATTTCAGTCGCAGAATTGAAAGCAATTGAGCTGGGACTTCCAGAAGCCAGACGTGAAGACAATCATATCTACAGAAGTGCCAACTTTGCGCCGGTTCGTCAAAAAGAACGTTCATTAACAAAACAAATTTAGCTTTATGAACAAACTGGACGCATACGGGTTGCTGGCTATGAAGAAGATCAAGACATAGCTGAGGTTATTAGTTTAAAATCAATCAGTGATGAAGTTTCTTTAGGAGATCATTATCGAGGATCCAAGAAATGGAACGGTAACAAGAATGAGAGTGTTGCAAACTGTGATGAGGCCCCCTCCACCACCACCACAAATCATAGATTCATATGAGGCACCCACAATCACAGCTCTGGATTCACAGCACCAATCCCACATGGGTGATGTGGGATTGATGCAAATGAATGTGCCAGTAATGCCCATTCAAATCCCTTCCGTCCAATCTCAGCCATTCAACGAACTTGATGAAGAAATGGCACAAATCACTAGGGTAACAAGAATGCTAAAAACTACTTATAACAAAACAATTTTAGTCAGCACAAAATTTGAGAATCGATGATCGAATCATTCAACAGAGATTCGAATCCCATTTCGAGGTTTGTTTCTGTAAAAGATCGATTCTATGATCACAAGTTTCAGCCGTTAACTCCAACTCCAACTCCAACTCCATCACCGAAATCCATTATGGCTGTCGTTCCGGTGGCTACCGAGAACGATTTGTTGTGTAGACAAATTGATGATGAGACACCGCCAATGCTGAATGTTCGTCGTTTCATTCAGACAATTTTATAGCTAAAACATGCCTCGAATAACTAAAACACTTTGATTCTCTTTATAGGGAGACCCAGTCGAACAAAATGAGGATTATTATCTCATTGAACAGCAAGAGATAATGCTTCCCGCTCCTCCTCAACCATATCTGGACACAGATTCGCGCAAAGAAATCAAAAAAAGATATCAAGAGGCTGAAGAAGAAGAATTTGTTGTGGTACTACATCACCAAGAGCCAATCAGCGCCAGCACTTACCACGAGATGGATCTAATCCCCGCTCAAACAGCAATGGTAAAGATAGCTGTAATAACTTGATTAGAAAATTTCAGCCCATAATGAGCACAGTTGGGGTGCAACCAACGCTCATGGTTCAATCGTATCAGCAACAACTTCAACAACAAGCTTTTCATTGCACTGATGGTTTAGAAATGAGGATTTATCCTCAAGAAATGCCGAGAGAGATGCCAATTCTTGATGGGCAGTATCCTCAACACTATCCACAACAACCCTTCATGCAAGCATGCTCGCAGGTAAAAAATACAGATAGATTGAACAGTATAAGATAGATTGCAGATAAACTGAACACTCGTTAATTTAGGAGTCAACTCAAGAGTGGGAAGAGCCCCTGTGTGTGGAGAACGAGTCTGAGCTACGACGACAGTTTGATGCGCTTTTTGAGTGAGTTGAAAGTAATCAAACATATAAAAACAAAATAAAATGTAAAGAAACCCAAATTTTAGTAGCCTGCCAAGAAGCCAAGAACCGGTATACTTGAGCTCACCAGAAGTTGATGCTCTATCAATGGGTCGAATGGGTGTGGATGGGCAAAGCTTAACAATGGATGCCTCTCCACAAACTCCCAAAAATCTCTTTCGCTCCCTTTCTAAACTTCCCCGTTTTTTCAAAAAATTAAATTTAAGGAAAAATTAGCTTTTCAGTTCTATTCTATCTCCCTATGTAAATATGATCAAGAACCGAGTGAAAAAAACAACCATTGCTACTTTTTTCTAATTTTGATTTCGTTAACTGTTGCGCAAATTTCATATGCCTTGATTATGAAAAATCAAGAAAGGCACGCTTTTTTGAAAACTTTTGAAATCTATAATTTCTTTTCAAAATTTTTAGCTATTATCGAGTCTGTCGAATCTTGCCGGTTGAAGACTTTAAACTTCGCTTTTTCCCTTTCATCTTTAACTTTTCTCTAATTATCGTTGTGACCTCAAGGTCAATTATGAATTTTTTTGAACATCGAACCTTTCTTTTTCTGGTATTTGTTTCCTTTGCTGTTACCACAATAAAAAATTCTTTTCAAAAAATTTGAATTCTATTTGTGAATGAACAATTTACAATTTACATACACCATTGTGAATGAAGATTGAGAAAACAAGCTTACAATTTACATACACTAGAAGGAGAATTTCTCAAAATTTGCATTTATTCTTAAAGCTGGAAATCATTTATAAGCATTTCGTTGGGAGAGATCGATTTTATTTTTCTTTCTACAAAAATTGATTTCCTTATCTATCATCTAATCGATGCCGATTTCCAAAGAGGCTTTCTTTTTGTCTTGCTAGTGACCAATCATGGTTTTATGAAGGCATTCTGCGTCTCTTCTTTCTCTCCTTCTGTAGCTGACTTTCTTGTCTGTTTCTCTCCATAATGATCTTCTTTTGTCCTATGACTCAGCGAGGCTCATTTTAGCCTCACAAATAGTCTGTTTTAGTCGCGTCATCGGATTTCATTACATTCCTTGGCCTGGGAATTTAATCATTGTTAAGCAAATCTACTCAAAATTTTTATCCTACGTACAAGCTGCCTTTTTTACGCAGCTTGGTCGTGAAATTGATTTTTGTGAGAACCACGTTTTTTTTCAAAATCTTTTCAAAAAATAGTTATTACATTTCTAATGTTATAATGCTATAAAGCAAAAAATACAAAAATTCTGGCGGAGAGTACTAATTGGAGACGGTATACCGTATTTTTCTGCGTTACCAACATTTGTATCAGAAAAACTTACACAGATTCTTTCTTGTTTGTTTACCCCATAGTTGTTATCTCCCTAGTCGTCTAGTTTTTTTTTTCATTATTTCCAATTGTTTGTTGAAACTTTAATTTTATGATCATTTAGATGTCATTTTTGGGAGTGCCATTGAAAACGACCACCGAGGTGGACCTAGTGAAACCTCTCAACACTTACATCGAGTCGGTTTACAATACAAGCGAAGATAATAAAGCTGAGGTAAGCTTTACACATTTCTGTTTTTGTATTTTCTGTTTTAGATCACCGAGGCTGTACAGGAGTTGAACAAACTTCGTAGCCGTGCCGTTTGCTCACCACTTGATAAGCATCAGTCAGCACTTGATGTTCTTACCAGGTAAATTTGCCTTTTTGAGACCTGTTGAAGCTATTTTTATTTCAGATACTATGACCAACTTGTTGCCATCGAAAATAAAATCCTCATCTCAGCCACACAAAATCCTGTTGTCTTCAAATGGAAAGATGCTTTTGATAAGGGAAGCCTTTTCTTTAACAAGGTTAGTAATTTTAATGTGCTTTTTAAAGAATGCATTTAGGCCTCTCTTTCACTTTCTGATGGTTCCTTTGAACGTGCCGCCGTTCTCTTCAACTGTGGTGCTTTGATGTCCCAGGTAAATTTAGTTAATATATATCGTGTGTGATTATGCGATTGGTTTTCTAACTTTTATGTCAATTATTTTTAGATAGCTGCTGCTCAGCCAATGCATACCGATGAAGAAATGAAGGCTGCTGCCACACTGTTTCGTCGAGCATCCGGTTTTTTTTTTAAAAACTACCATATTTCAACAAAACTATTTTTAGGAGTGTTTGATCAATTAGCCAACCGCGTGCTTGGTATGGTACAACAGGTATGTTTTTTACTCTCAATAAAAATAAAATTTTTTTAGGATCCAACACCCGACCTTCTACCAGACACTTTGGCCGCTCTAGCAGCTCTGATGATTGCTCAAGCGCAAGAAACTATGTATTTCAAAGCCAGTACAGGTATGTAATGCTTGTTATCTGAAAATAAAAATCTTTAAATTCTAGATAAGATGAAGGCATCAGCGTTGGTAAAAATCAGCGCTCAAACTGGAGATTTTTATGAACAAGCCTACAAGTTGATGAGCAAGGATACTGTCAAGGGCCTCTGGGAAAAAGTTTCAATGGGTTTACAAATCTAATTAACCATTACTCTTTAGGAATGGTTGCAAGTTGTTACCGGAAAAGGATTGGCGTATCAAGCACTTTCTCAGCATCATCAAGCATCGGTATTAAATAGCAAAAAAAAGTAAAAGCAAAGGTTCTTTAGGTTTGCGGTGATGAAAAGTCAATTGGTGAACAAATTAGTCGCTCGGCAGCGGCTGTTAGGGTATTGTTTAAATATGGCATTTTTCTTTATTTGGTATATTGGTTATATGGCATTTTAGTTGAGCGAGCAAAGCAACAAGTACCTTGGGGGAGCGCTTTCGGATCATTTGGATCCAATTTCAAAAGCATACACAGCAGCCAAGAAGGACAATGACTTTATTGTAAGCTGCTACATTATAGTAATAATAACCTAGATTTAAACCAAGTCAACCAACTGTTAAAGAAACTTGTTTAGTATCATGAGAGAATTCCTGATTTCCGGACATTACCCGCTCTTCCACGTCATGCTCTTGCCAAAGCGGCACCAGTCGAGTTCCCGATGAGCCCTCGGTTCAAAGGTGAAAGAGAAAAATGCCCAGTTTAAAAATAAAGTTTTTAGATATGTTTTCTCTGCTTGTGCCTATTCAGGTTCACAATGCTATGCAAACTTACGAGGCTCGCAAGGGTGAATTGATTACGATGGAAACTGGTCGAATGCGCGAGCACACTCAATTAATGAATGGGTTGGTTTTGCTGATTTGCTCAACTTTCTAACGATTAACTTTCTCTTTAGAATTCTTGCTTCACTCAATTTGCCAGCAGCTCTTGACGACGTTGTTTCATCTGACACTCTGCCAGAATCAATACGCCAGAAAAGCTCCAAAGTAAATTGAGATCTTATTTTGAGCATTGGTAGCTTTTATCGGTTTTGAGTTCTGTAAAATATAATGTGTTATCTCAAATCTTAAGGTAAAACAATCTGGAGGTGTTGACGAGATCAATCGCCTGATTCGTGAATTGCCAGCCTTGTACAAGCGGAATCAAGAAATTTTGGAGGAAGTAGCTGCTAGTTATTGTATTTTAACACTTTAGAAATTTTTAGACGGAACGTGTCCTTAAAGAAGAAAAAGAAAGTGATGACAATTTGCGAACTCAATTCGGAAACAAATGGACAAGAATGAGCAGCGAGCAGTTGACTGGTCCTTTGGTTCAGGTATGCTTTTATTTTTATGTAGCGTAGTGAATTTATTTTAACCACCTAGCTTTTTGAGATGATTACTGATACTTTAGGAGATTGGAAAGTATCGAGGAATTCTTCATACTGCTTCCAATGCAGATCAAATGGTTCGACAGAAGTTTGAGGTCAACCGCGTTGGTATTGAATTACTGTCCAAAAGCGAGGTAATTATTCCTCTGTTATATATATCTATATTTTTGTTTTTCTTAAGCCTGAGTTGAAAGCTTCAATTCCTGGGCAAACTCCACATGTGTCTGGCGGTGGGGGAGAGGCTGTGACAAACCTTCGTCGTCTTATGCAAGAAGTGCAGGACATCAAGGTTGTTAATCTTTTGATAATGTCGTTAATTCATTTATTGTTTAGATTGAACGTGAGCGCTATGAGAAAGAATTGAAAGCTGTGAATTGTGATATTGCAAATGACTTCCTTCAAGCTATGTCTGGTAACAATATTTTTCAAGTTGTTATAAAGATTTTTATCTTAGATAGTCAATTGCTAAACGATGATCAAATCTCAAAGGGAAAGATTGGACAGATTTATGGCCCTATTCGCGAGAAAATTGAAGCCTCAATCAAAAGACAAGATGACATTGTCATGCAAATCCAGGTGCTAAAGAATTATCGCGCTTTCTAATTTTGACCTATTATTTAGCAATGGAACAACAAGTTTATGGGCGAGAAACAATCGTCAGCAACGGGAGCAGAACGTGAACGCGTTTTGAAGGATCTTGCAACTGGACATGATTCGTTCATCGAATTAAAAGCAAACCTTGAAGAAGGAACTAAAGTAAGACTTATTTTTTTAAAAAGACTTGAAAATTATTTTAGTTTTACAATGATCTGACACCGATCCTCGTCAAACTCCAACAGAAAGTTTCCGACTTTGCTTTCGCTCGCAAGACTGAAAAAGAAGATCTCATGAAACAAGTGCAGCAAAATATTATTGGAGGTAAGCAACCTCTTTGGCGGCATTATAATTTAAAAATTAACTGACGTAAGCCTTTTTGTTCAGGTGGTGCAGCAGCTGGTGGAGCGGCGGTTCCTCCTCGACCTCCACCACCGCGTCCTGCACCTGGTTAGTTTTTGAAAATTGATTGTTGCAATAGATACTATTGATAGCGGGTATTTACGAAATAAACTTGACCCATATTTGAAGATTAATCTGTAGGTGCAAATCCATTTGATGACGTTGAACCCCCGATCCCCCCACCGCGCACAACTTTGAATCAGAGCGGTAATATTCACGTTTATTATAGATCATTAAGATTGGAAAAGCTTGATGCATGGTTTTTAATTATTTAAAGACAATAATTGCTTCTTACCATTTTATTTGGGATGTGATTGCTTACCTATACGTAGCCCTTCATCATTGTTCCTTTAGCAGCTCCAACAGCCCCTCCACCAGCGGCTGCAGCTACTGCTACTGTGGCTCCACCACCAATGCCACCGTATTACAATCACGCAACTCCATATGGTAGGAGTATATATTTTACCCAGAAATTGATACAATAAATTTTGTGAAAAAACAAGATGGTTTAAGAAAAAAAGTTGTCTTTGACGGGTTTCTTTGCAAGTTGTCTCCTTGCTTGGATTTACAACACTAATCGTATCCAATTTAAAAGTTTTCAAATAGTGCATGTTACCTAACAAAATCGGAAAATCACTAGAAAATAAGTAAGGATAATTTGGAATTTTTTAGGTCAACCACAGCCAATGTTCTACCAGCCAAATTTTGCAGTTCCTTATCCAAGTTATCCGACGTATCCAGGAGCTTATGGGGTGAGTCACTTACTTTGTTTATTTATAATATTTTTTGTGTTACATCAAATTTTTGCTTTAGGCCCCAGTGTATTCTCATTTTCCACCAAATCCTCAAGGTGGAAATCCTTTCCAACAACCACAGCCTGGATATCAACCACAGCCTGGATATCAACAAAATCCACAACAGTAAAAACGCTTTTTAGCTGGTGTCGTTTTTCCTTAAATTTCCACGTGTATTTGTTGAATTTCTTTATTACTTGATCGCATTGCATTGTTTGGTTTTTACACGAAACTTTCCTTAGAAATTTATGCAAAAGTGAAGTGCGAAGACTAACTTTGGTTTGAGTGTTTTCAAGTTTAAAAATAGCTTCGTGTTTTGTTTTCGGATTATGTGACTTATTTGAAAGTATTTTTTCGATTTTTTTTCTTGTCATTAAGAAAAAGTAATTTTTGTTCACGGCGATATCATTAGCGTCCGGTGTATGATACGCGAATAAATGTTATTTCAGATTACAGAGAAAACGTTTTGCCAATTTTTAGTACCTAAGCTGAATAAAGAAGATATGAATAAGGGGATATGAAAGGGATTTTGTTGTGGTACGTGGGAGAAGAGAGCAGCGGGGAGTGGCCCTTTGCCCCCTCCTCCCTCTGTCCACTAAAGCCCGGGCTCGGCGTTTCTTTTGCTTTTCTTTTTTTTTGCTCGCCGCCTGCCTCCCATCTCTACATTCTACATACACACGAAGACCACCAATGTGCACATTTTTTTTCTCAAAGAGTAGAGGATCGATCTCATTTGTATTGAAAGGCTCTCATGCTGTAAGAGATCACGAGAGCTTTTGAGCCCTTAATTCCTGGGAATTCACGCATTTATGGCACTTGGAACACCTTCAATTGTGTTTTCAACTAGTCAGGTTGTTGAGATTTACAACAAGATTTACAAGAAAACTTCAGAATTTTCAGAAAGAACTCGTTTTACCGGTTAATCATGACTATGAACGCTTCCGGGCTAAAATGATGAGCAGGTAAGCTAATTTGTTGCCCAAATCTTTGGTTACTTCGATAGAAACTTCATGACCAAACAAATTTACCTTAAAAAAGAACTTTTAAAAAGCTTTCCATTTGAATTTAAACCCAAAGCATTCAACCAAGTACACAATAAACTTCAGCAACTTTTGAATCAGAAAGGCTGTATCTGTAACTTTTGAACTTCTGTAAACTGACTATGCAATTTGATAGACACATGCATGCTTTATATCGGCTTTGTTTGATAAAGACCGAGTTTTGTTGTGTCTCTGTATTTTTTTTTCATTTTCACTTGAGAAAGTGTCTTGAAAAAGATTACTTCAAAAAGCGTTCCCTTTAGCGGCGACTCGGGGGGAGCGAGATCACGTGGGGGGCACACACAGAGGCAGTCTTGTTTGTGGCCTTTTCCCCCCACTTCTCTCCTCCTTCCCATTCCCTATCACCTTCCCCTTTTTTCCCTTCCTCTTTTCTCCACCCCCATGCCTATTCACTACTATTTTTTTTCGCGATTTCTTCTTTATCCTTCCTCGTTTTCTCTTTTATTTTTGGAACTCTCCGTTTTTTTTTCTTCCTTGCGTCTTTCCGTCGTACTTTTGGCTTGGATTTGCTTTTTACAGAACTGAGCTTTTTCAAGCACTTTTTTTTCGTTTCCATTAGTGAGCTAAGGCTTTTGATTAGCCTTTTCACTATATTATATTCTGGTAGATGAGTCACGAAACTCATCAACAATCGGAGAATTCTGCCGAATGAGTTCAGTACGGAGGAAAAACGAGCGAAAAAGGTAACTGTTAACAAAGCTTTTCCAATGAATTTACATGTAAATTTACTATTTAAACTATATTGCTCACTACTTCAAATGAATAGAAAATTATATATATTATATATTATAGAAAAGCTAAAAGTTAACACATTGGCAATTAACACTCTTAAGTTATTGAGTTTTAAGTCTAAAGTCTACGGTGTTGTTACATACCAGTCTCTAATAGAAGACCACACTCCTGATTCCTCAAAATCCCGACTTTTCAGGACTTCTTTTTAGCTAAAGTTATAGATATGGCTTCAGATAGATGTAGCTTTGGCAGTAAAATTGAAAATCTAGTTTTTGGAAAAATTAGAAAAATAATTTTTTGAAAAAACTTTTACCGTAAATACTGTAATAGTACCCCACCCCCATAATGACGGTGCGGAGTGTTGCGTAGTTTAGCTTTGAACGAGTTTTTCTCGACACTAGTTTATGCTACAATGCGCTCTTAGGTATCAAAAAATAGCTGAAATTCAGGGCTATTTTTTGATACCAAAGACGCATTTTTTGAAAGTACGGGTGCTTTGAAAAAAATGAAATACTAAACAACGAATACGCGACTGTACGAGGGGGCTGGGGTACTGGAAAGCTTCTGGAAAGCTTTAATATCTACCGTAAATACTGTAATATCAAAAAATAGCTGAAATTGAGGGCTATTTTTTGATACCTAAGCGCACATTGTAGCATAAACCAGTGTCGAGAAAAACTCGTTCAAAGCTAGACTACACAACACTCCGCACCGTCATTATGGGGGTGGGGTACTGTTACAGTATTTACGGTATGTGGTCCCCCACATGGATTTTTTTGGGGAGATTTTCTATGGGGTTCAAGTAAAGAAATAATTTCACTTTTAAACACGTTTTTAATAGGTTGATGCATAAGTCTTTTCGTTTTTTTCGTACTTCTGTTAAAAAGTAACAAATTCACCAATTAATCTATAGTTTGCTCTATAAAAAAAAGTGTTTTTTTGTTCAATTTGCATCTTTTTAAATCAATTTCGGTTCACTTTCAAGCAAATTCGAGAGTGAAAAACGCCTTTTTCGTAAAAATCTATAAAAACTCTACGGAAAAATTGGCTGAATGAATTTCTCTGAAATTTTGGCGAAATATCAAACGTTTTTTTTCTCTATCTTTTATCTATTGACACGAAGATAGGTTTTCTTTAGCTAAGGTGTCTAAACCGCATCATCGAGTTAGCCCTTTTTGACTACCCGACTTCATACTCTCAAGAAAATCCAGGCATAAAATATTTTTAAACCCGTTTTAATGTTATTTTGCAGAAAAATAATTGGTTTTTCTAATGAAATCAACCGTAGTTTAATTGGTGCATTTGTTGGCTTGAAACGGCAGACGAAAAGGAACAAAAACACTTATGCATCAACCTAATAGTATTTTTTGGGGCGGCTAAGGGCTATTGTTTAAAAGAGTTTTTAACAATTTTAACATTTTTGACTCATGTGGGGCACCCTTAACTACTTTTTCGGCCAGCCGATTTTGGGAGATTGAAAAATAGAAGACCATGGTTTTCTATGAGAATAAATACGGTAGGATATTGGGAAACAGACGGGTGTTTTTTTTCTGCAAAAGAAGTTCTTCCCTTCTTACTTTTTCCATCATTCTGCAAGAAATCCCGTAGAATATTCTTAAACCAAAGCGAACGTAGACTTTCGTTTCCTACTTTTCAAAACCCATTTCCTTTTCTTTTATTCTCAAACTCTCACGTTTTCCGCACATTTTCAAACGATGCTCCTATGATCTAAAAAAACAAATCTTTTGCGATAAGCCTGAGATTTTTGCTCGACTAAATCGATATCCTTTTCTTCTTCCTTCTCGTCTCATTCGGTCTGTTTTGTGCGTGTGTGTGGTGAGCCAGCGAAGGTGTTTACATGATCGACCTTCCAAGTCGAGCCCTCTTCTCCTTTCCCCCCATTCTCTTCCCGTACCTCTCCACTCGTTTTATTTGCATTTCCATAATTATTATGAGCTTTGCCGTAAATATTTTAAAGCTTCAACTGTTTAGTAAAAGTTGACTTATATTGTTTGATCAAAAGTTCTTGAATAGACTTTGAAAATAAACTGATTCTGTGCTCAAAGACCTCAAAAAATATTTCAACATTTCAGCGGCTTTTTGAATCGCTGAACCAATATGGATTTTTATTGACTGTGGGATTGTTGGGCACTTTTGAGGATTGAGAAGAAGAAAGGCAAAAAAAAATGAGAGAGGCAGAGAATGGACATTTTGGGGGAGGGGGTAGGTGGGGCGATCGATCGTTGAAGAAAGAAGGGATTGGGATGTGATCAGACTGTTGGGTAGAGGGGTGGATGGGCGGGAGGGGACTCCCATGGATCCCCTTCCCTTATTTGTGGCCTTCAACCATTTGGCTTTATTTTTTTCCTTTCTTTTTTCCCCATAAACAATTGCACAGTTTCTCTTTATTTTGGCCATTTTTAAATAACCATTCTTTACTATCAAAACTCTGAGCAATTATATATGCTATATGTAAATTTTAAATAGGTTTCCTATGTAGTTTCACCTTTTTTACAAAAGCACCGGTATATAAGCCCAATTCAAATATGTGTATCGTAAAGAAGTGAGCCTCGCCGCTTACACAATCCTAGTGAAAAATGAAATTTCTGAGCTGCCAATGATTTTCTCAAAGGAATTTTCTTTCACTTTTTTTTTCTTGTGTCTCCATTTCACGATAAACAAAATATGAAACAGCACGAAAAGAGCAATGTTGCAATGTTTTCATTCTATTTTTTTTCCAGGAGCTACACACTTTCGTCAGTGCCTCGCAGCCCGGCACCCGGTTTTATGGAGGTGAGCTCTGAGAGAATTCGAAACAAATCAACGCGGCAGGGTCCATCAACACCACCGACCACACAACCCCATCCATTAACCGCTTTTGTCAATCGACTCAATGGGGTAAGTGTGACTATTAGGCTGATGAATAAATCTTTTCGTTTCTTTTCATACTTTTCGTACTTGCGTAGCTTAATGGACGAAATTTCCATTAAAAGTCGGGTAGTCAAAAAGGGTAGAACAACTGTACAATATGACAAGTTTTTACTTTTTTGCAGAATGGACGAGATGTGGAGGCTCAACTCTCACCGAGCAATGAAAGCCCATCAAAACACAGGTTGGATTAATGTTTGTTAAACTAAAAAAATAGGGATTTATTGAGTTGTACTGTTCTGGTTCTCAAAAAACTTCGTTGACGGGTAGAAAAGGTGATGTGTTCCCGTTTTTTTTACGGGCGAACATGTGTCATCCCGATCAACCCGATTGGCCCTTCTAAACCTTTTGGCTGTGTTCTCAATGCAATAAATTTTTCGACAACTAAAAAAAAATACCTAATTGAGATATTTTTCTGATTAAATAGAGTAAATTGTTTTTTAGTTTCGAAGTTCTGAGTGGAAAGAATTTTTGGTCAAAAACTCGATCATTAACGCGTATTTCTTTTATCCTCCGGGGAAAACCTCTGCCTATTTTAGTCGAATAAGTTTTTTTTCTTGTGGCTGACTAAAAATATGATGTTGTTAGGGGTAACGGGGAATGAGTAGGAACGCCCTCTTGAATCGACCAAGAGATTTCACACCTATTTAATGATCTCTTCTCATCGATCTATTAAGCCTTTCCTTTTGAATTCATTAAGGCTTTTCATAAGTCTAAAATTCATAAACGTTTTTCAGACTTTTTGAAAACCCATTCTCTCGACGTAGACTTCGACAACAAAGCCTCAACCTCGACGAAGGTTTGTTCAATTTCGGATGCAGTATTTTATTGGAAATTTTCCACACACATGACTGTTTTTCTGTTTTCGCCGCATATTTGAAGGATTTTTTTTTGGTTGACGATTGGACAGATGTTAGGGTAGGGGTTTTTTCATAGGGAAAGAGATTGGTTTTCTTTTTTTTTGTTTCTCTTCATGTGGAACGTGAATAATTTTATGCTAGTGGATAGATGAGGGGAATGGGTGAATGAATGAGAGAATGGAGTCTGCCGGTGACAGACGCTTCACCAACAGGGGTCATCCCAAAAAAAGCGGTCATAGTCGTGTTTTCAAAAATGAGCTTTTCAATTGTTAGCTTGACCCATTTTTTCGCTGAAAACTCAACAATGATCACAGCTGTGAATGGGGGATTTTCGCAGCCGATTTAATATGATCAGCGTAGATGATTGGGGATGCACGGCAAAGCTGTCCTCTATTTCACCCATAGAGGGATCAACTGTAGAGTGTGCTCCTCGCGATTAATACTTTTTCTAACGGATCATGGTCACGCCTTTCCCCAATCCGAAAAAAGTGTTCAGTGTTTGTTTGCGTTTCGCGCTTTCTTCACTGATATCATGGGGCTTTTGCCTTTTCTGGTCTTTTTTTCAACCCCTCTATCTACTATGTGTTTGCTAGAACTTTCAGAAAAATCTTTTCAATAATTCTAACTGAAAACTATACTTCTAACTTCAAATAGTCACTTAGTTTTTTTAAAAACTTTTACATTTACGATTGATATCTTTGTAAGCGTAAAAGTTCCTCTCTCAAAACCCGGTCCTTTTCTTGTATTTCGCTATGCTCTTGAAGACAGACCAGCGATAAGATCTCAAAAATTTCCCCGGGAAATGAACTTTTGAATTCCGCACTTTTGAATTTGGAAAATGCAGAAATCTGATATTATTTTTGAAAATTTTCAGATCTGGGCTATCCGCCAGCATATAACGCGGGCCCTCCTCCGGAGCTCGGCACTGCGTGCTCAGCCCGCTCCCTTCCCTCTCCATCACATCTACGGTTTGTTTAAAAAGATCAATGAAAGTAATTAATTATTAAATCAGTATCTACCGTATTTATTCAAATAGAAGCGCAGCCTCCAATAGAAGCAATAACTATAGATATTCAGCTTAGTAGACTGAATATCCGGAGTTTTGCGCCTTTAAAGGGGTACTCCGGCCTAAAAGTTGACTTTCACGAATCACAGATATTTATATATTATGCGATGCATTTTAGTTTTCTCTACAACTATTTCCTATATGAAAAACAAGGTTTCCAATCGAGAAATGAAGAAAAACGAAATTTTTGCTTTTCGTTCCACCCTAAAACGTGGATATTTGGGCGAAAAGTATATAAAGGTTCCGTACAATTGCATTTTAGCATTTGCGTTCTTTTCTTTTGCACGTATTTTCTCGAATTCAAAAGAAATCTTAAATATTTTTTGATTCTTAGTAGAAAACATTAGATTCTAAAAGAATAATTTTATAAAAGATGAAAATCAGACTTAAAAAGACGTGAAAAACAGGTGCTCAATTCACGCGGAACTTGTGACCAAATTTTGAACATGTAAATAATTACTATTTAAAAAAGTAGCAAAAAGTTTAGGGTTTCTAAATTTATAATTTAGGTATTTACAAGCATTTCATCCATCATCAGGTAGTCATTATTAAAGTAATTCTTTAAGTTCAAAATTTGGTCACAATTTGGTCCGTGCCCCCGAGGCTCTCGAGTTTTAGAGATTTGAAGCTCTTTAGAATTGCTAATTTTGAGTTTTTGAGTAAAGTATCGAAGTAAAGTGTTGAAAATAAGCAGTAAATTCTACCAAAAAAGTTTTATGGGAAATAACTCTAGGCGGAGCTACGCACCAGAGAAAAAGTGCCCGTAACTCTTGAACATCCTGTATAAGGCATTTCCTTGAGAAAAATTACATTCTTTATCATTTGTTTTGCATAAGCAGTGGCAATTTTGATAAGTTTTTCTTGTAATTAGGTAGTCAGCTTATTTAGAACGATAGATTAGTTAGTTAAATTCCGTTGAGCTTAAGATAATTTATGTCATATAAATTCTCACAACATTAAACATTTTGACGTTTTATATTATAGTATCCAATCCTTTAGCAAAGAATCTTTCTTAGTTTCTATAAATTGCTTAAAAATTATTGATTGCTAAAGTTTATTATTGCTTGATCAGTAGCTTTTCTTGCATTGATGGTGACATCTTGATTGAAGTCGGCGACTCTAATGATTAGAGTGTTTTCCTCCCAAGTAATAGTGCAAAATAGAAAACAAAATTGACTGAATATTTTTAAAAATAAGAGTAAATGCATTTGTTTTAAAAATATTCATTATGTTTCCTACACTGCACTATTACTTGAGAGGAACACACTCGACTAACAATAATGAAATCGAGAGTAATGCTGTTTTGATGATTGAATTGTTTTAATTGTTACCTAAAGGTTTTCTTTCTACGAACTACTTCATCACTTCTTTAGTCATTGAAAAATAAAAGCGCAGCCTCATATAGAAACGATTTTGTGGATTGAATTGAATGAAAAATGATTGAAAAATAGAAGCACATGCGTTTCTATTAGAATAAATACGGTAATTTACGAAGTTTATTTCCAAACGCCTTATTAAAAGAATATTTTTTGCATGAGAAATTTCCGGTTTTCTTTCTGTCTTTGACGTCAACTTGGTAGCGCAAAAAAAGAGAAAACCACTGAATTGAATCCCCAAAAATATGTATTTGTGGATTTTAGAGAGCAATCGGGCACAGCGTAAGCTTAAATGTTTTGCTAGAGCTTATCATAGCTTTAGAAAATGCATGTTAACATCCGACTTATCATTTCTCTTTAAATTCCCCTTTGTGTTATTGCTAATGCAGTGTTTTAGAAAAAAACTGTTTTAAACCGATGATTTCATTATAATTTACAAATGCTTTTTTCAGGGAGCGGTTTCGAATTCGAAGTCATTCGGACGCCGAACACATGATTGCAAATAGGTGAGGAAACTTCTGAATGGGAATTTAAAAAAATACTATAAGGCACAATTCTTTTGTCTCGTACAGTATGCCAAAATAAAAGTATTCAGCCTTTCTTTATTCTACTTTTCACAGTCCTTAAGGGTTAAAAAAGGGGACCTAGTCAAAATAGCGCCGCCAAAGCAGCGTCGTTTAAAACAGCGCCCATACAAAAATAACGCCGCACAAAACAGCGCGAAATTAAAGATTTTAATGTAGATTAACCAATACTCGAAGTTTCCGATAAAAGCTTTATTTTTTGTGCATTCTCAAGTAAAATAGATGAAAACTTGTTTATTCAATTAATGAAACGAAAAAGTGAAAAAACGGAGTTAACACATGAATGTAACAACATAAAGATTTTAAATGATCGATTTTTTTGATAATGATAGATTTTTAAATGATTAAATGACTGGACTCTTACCCAAAGATCCATTTTGATCCGCAACTTTTCTTACACGCTGGCCGTGAAGAAATTTCGACGATTGAGGTAGAGTCATGTGCCGAGATGTAGCCGCATCAAGACGTTTTTCGAAGTCTTCTTGTACATCTAGTAGCTTTGGAGCAACATAGTGAGCAGAACATCGTAAAGTAAGAGCCTAAATCTCAGTGTATCTCAGTGTAATAGCCACAGTGTATATCACGTATCTAAAAATATAAACAAGAAACAATAAGTTAAACAAAACAATACCTACCTCTCGTGTTTCTTTCAATGGCAGGCAGGTCGTAGCGTGCTCGTTGGTGACAGAAAGGACTTCAGTCGCTTTATCTTTATGCATCCTTCCTTGGCAGTTTGTTTTCGTACAACTGAAAGAAAACTTTAAAATATTCAAAGAAAAATATACAACAAAACTAGTAAAAAGAAATTACCGATAAGCTGTAGCTATCCCTTTTCGGATTGTTTTGTCATTCTGATACTCGTGTTCATCGTACTCGTGTTCATCGTACTCGTGTTCATCGTACTCGTGTTCATCGTACTCGTGTTCATCGTACTCGTGTTCATTGTACTCGTTCATCGTACTCCGATACTCGTGTTCATCTTCATCGTAAAGTAGCACTCCACCTTTCTGAGATAGCGACATCCCTAAATGAAAAAAAAGATGTTGAGAAAAAAAAGTTGAGAAATTTTGCAGAAAAGCGCAAAAACTAGCTTAATCTATCTTATTAATTTATTTAAGATCAAAGAAACAAAGTTATTACCTTATACAAGTAGAATTTCTTCGCAAACGATATTGTGTGAAAAGTGCTTGTGATTGTCACGCCGAATTACTTGCAACGAAGCTTTTATTCCTTCAGACGACATTCTTTTATCTAAAAAACACAAAATTAAGTACCAAGAACAGTAAAAACAAGAGAAAAGGATGAAAAACAAAATGTGTCACATTATTTATCTAAAATGGGCCCTAAAAGATGATTCTAATGATGAAATAATCCTTTGGTTTGTCAAAACACGAGTAATGTGCTTAAAAATGTTTTAAAAATAACAAAAGTTAAAAGTTGTTATGAGAAGTATAAAAACATTGAGGTTGAAAAATCTAATCGCAGACTTTTTCAGTTTGGCGCTATTTTTGTATGGGTGCTGTTTTGGACGGCCTGTCTATTCTTTGAACTAGATCCCTAGAAAAGTTGTTTTTTTTCTTAAAAAACGTAACACATAATCAATTCAATATATTTAAAAAATATTACTACTGAAAATTCTAGTGGCCGCCGCTCATCGGGACTCATCGTTTTTCTTAACACGAGTGCCGAGAATTCCCCTCGCTCGCCTACAAACAGTGAAGGTTTGTGCGAAACTTAGGGAAAAATCAAAGAATTTTCTATCTTTCGAAAATATTTTGGCAGATTTCCCTTTAGAAAATCCCCGAGAAACCCTTGCTCAATCTCCAAACAGGGTTTATCCCGTTTATCCCAAGATATTGATAATCCGGCTTGGCCAATTCAAATCAACAAATTGCCCACACCCCGGCTTAAAGAGTTTTTTTTAGTGCCAGCTTTCCCGGCGCATAAAATACTTTCATTTATTCGCTAATCTCCTTTCGTCCTATTTCAGTTATTTTTTCAGAAGTTGTAAAGTCCATTCGTTCTTTGGATAAAGTCCGTACACTTTCGCACATCAATTATGCACATATTTTTCCCGAAATGACCTAAATTATCTTTTTTTTTGACAAATTTCTATAGCTGACCTTTGGGAAGAGGAAATGAAGGAGAATTGACGAAGCAGTTGCCGCAATTTTGGGAGGGGAACGCCCCATCAAATGCTTTGTTGTCACAAGTTTCCCGTTTTGACCACAAATGCTCTCGTTTAAGGCTTTCAAGACTTTTAAAAGGAATTTTTTTTATCTTAAGATCAAAATCTTTCTATTGCACTTCTAAAATGAATCTGTCGCCTCGAATCGCTAATTGAAAGATGTTTTCCCTAGCGGACTGGCCTTGCCAAACCAAACAGCTCATTTGGCGCTCATCCATGATTTTCAAGACACCGTTTTGTTTCAAAAGTCATTAGTGCTGTGATTTTGCAAGCTTGCTTGAGCTAATAAATGCTTAAAACACAGCTGAACTTTGAATAGAACATTTCTACAAATGGAGATAACGTTTAGAGGGTCGTTTGCAGGGGAAATTTCTCCTCGCTCCCCACACAGGGGTTCCTCATTTGGCCGATCCACATTGAATTTGCCGCTCTCTTTCCTTTTCTTCTTTTTTTCGTCTTCTCACATCCAAGCCTCCATCCATCTCACAAACATTTGCAATTTATTCTATTCTACTTGCAAGTTTCGTCTTGCTTCGGTTTTCATCCATGAAATACATTTCTACTTTCAATTCTAAAACAATATTTGTTAACATTAGTCAATTCGGTACTATACACTGTTCTTTTATATATAGTAGATCATTCATAACTGGGAATCACTGGGAAAAGGGATTTGTTGAGGATGAGAAGAAGGGGCTGAAGAGTGAAGGTCCCCCGAGGGTGATTGCACATTCTCGGAGGCTTCTGTTCCACATGAGAGCCCTCGTGTGCCCCCTCAAATTTCTCATTCCTTGCCTTCCGCGTTTTTTTTTTTTTCTTTTTGACAATATCTTTTTACGCTCTTTATTTGAATCGATTTTATTTAAAAGTTACGATAGTGTGTAGGTGAACGGATCGGGGTGATTGAATGGCCGAATGTGAGGGTTCAACCTCGTCTTCAACCGTTTCGTCAACCCTTCGACCCAAGGGCTTTATAAATCGTCTCCGAAAACGCGTTTCCATTGATCAGAAATGGCTGTGTATGCAATTGCATTATCTTTTTTTCTGCAAAAAAAAACAAAGTGCTTGAAGGGATTTCTTTCAAAGTTATTCCAGCGCTAGAACTTGGGGAATTTTTTTAAATCAAAACAAGAACATTGGTCCTTTTTTCCTGGGAAAAGTCAATGATATCATCATTAATTTGTTGAAGAAAAAATGTTTTTCTTTTTCAGCACCACTCAATGGAACACCCGTTTTCTCTCTTCCATCACCGCGTCGTCCACTTTACGTCGATACACAGGTCTTTTTTTTTTGATCATTTCTCACAATTTTCTATAGCTGATTTTAACTTTTAATGCTTAATTCTAATGGTACGTTTAAGTAATAATAAGATTTCGTTTCATAGAAAGAATTTCAGTTGGCCAATGGGTCGATGAACTGGGATAAGAAGAAGAGTCCGGTTTGTGCAGTTTTTGACATTGTGAGGAACAATCGCAAATCAAACTCTGTATGTTGATCTGAAAATCTAGTTGATATATCTTATAGAAATCTTTTTTTATGAATCATGGAAGTATCTCAATTTAGATAAGCGCACCCTCGCCGCAACCAGTGAGCGCTCGGTGCTCCAGCTCTAGTGATGGACCACAGCCATGTAAGTCAAACTTTTGATGCTTGTGACTCGCTGAAAACAAGATGAGTCTAAGCTAGACCAAGATTACGGATTACGTTTTCAATCTTTAACGTTTAGCTCCGCGCTGCCGTGTGGGTAGCAACCGATACACCCGACCTGGTGGACAACGGAGTCTCGACAGCGGGCTTGACCTTGCCTCTCCAACAATCTCATCAACAGCTCTTCTCATCCGCGAGGTTTATTAATTAAACAGCTTCTTTAATCAACAATCAAACGCCTGAGAGTCAAGCAAAGCCGCACAACGCAAAAATCGTCTTGAAACATTGGTGATGATCGTTTTCTTTTTTTAGTTCCTCAATTCTCTTCAATCTTCTCTTTTCTTTATTTTCTCATGTCTTTCTTTCATCGTCATCACCCATTTTCGCACGCGCTCTCCCTCCAAACCCTTCTCGAGTTTCCAATTTTCTTCTTTTTTTACTCCCTCAAACCAAACGAGATTCATTACCTAACCACAGATTACCCAAACACTCGCTTAGTGTTCAATATTGGAGAATCTTTTCACAAAATTATATATCATTTGCGACTTCTCCTCTCCGTTGTTCTCTAATACGTTTCGAGCAGGTCCAGATTTCCTCAAAGTTCTTATGGCGGACGACACACGTGCCGTAAAAACTTTGTTTACCCGGGCGTCAGTTGGCTGTTTTTCTCTTCACCTTAGCCCCATCAACTTCTTCCCGGATTCCTCGACTTTATTCCCAAATTTTTACTATTCACCTTTCCAACTTTTTTTGAAAACTTTAAAATCATTGGAAGTTCCGTTCATGAGCCGATCAGTCATCTTTAACCAGTGAATGTGCTCTCGAAAAAAAAACCCTATTTACCCAACTAAATACCTAGCCGCAAAAAAGGCTCCCTCAAATGTTTGCGTTTCAATTGTGGCGTGAATTCGACGCTCACACCTTACTTGACAAATTACTCCTATAAAATTTTATCTCTCACTTTTATTGAAAAATCAATGACTCTTTTTTTAAAGAGAAGGCTTTCGGGTCCGGGATCGATAAGGAATGGGCGAAACGGGAAAGGAGAAGGTGCTGATCGCCGAAACGAAAATGTTGAGAGGAAAACAGAGTTTTGGCGATTGGGGCGCCCGGTGACCAGAGGAGTAAGGAGAGCACCTCTGGGGGTGAAGAAGAAGGGGAGGAAGGGAGGAAGGAAGGAAGGGGAGGGGTCCTGGCACGACCCCTTCCCCCCCTTCCCCTTCCCCCCTCCCCTTCTCCCACCCCACGTGTTCTCTTTTAGCTCTCCTCCTTCCTTTTCCGAATCCCCGAATTCCCCTCTAGCTTTCCCCTTCCACTTTCCATCAGCTCTCCACGTGATCACCTCAAATCCATTTTCGAAAGCCTTCCATGTTTTTTTCGGCATCAATCTTTTCTACCTAGTCAAACCCATTGAAACATTTAATTTTTCAAGCTTAGCGCCATACTTAACACTTACTCTTATTGCATTTAAATCGATTGATCAAAATAATGATCTTTTTGTGCCCATCAAATATTCGTAACCAATAGCTAAGGAAAAGCTTCATGACAAAAAAAATGACTTGAATATTTCCCCTGGTGGAAAGCGGCTTGTATTTGTCGTATCCATGACGCCTCTATATGTTCATTTTTCGAAAATCAGAACACCTGCGCGGAGATCTTTCGTAAATCATTAAATATTGATTTCATTTAGTTTTACTTGCACAAGAAACCTTCATACAATTTTTTTTTTGATATCAATTTATTTTTTAAGAAATCCCTTTCTATAACTGGCTACCGATATTACATGTTTCCATTGTTGTTTAGGCTAAATCCTACCAATCCATCAACTTCTTTTTCTCTGCATCCGGCCAAGAGGCCCACTTTTCTCTTCACCAAGTTTCAAAGCATCAATTATTGGAAAAGGGTCAATTTTCGAGAAAAGCCAGCTGGTCGCTCCACAAAAAAACAGGCAATGAGCTCATAAAAAAAGGACTGGGAGAAACGCTCTCTGGAGGGAGAACTGAAGGGAGATTGATAAAGCGTGGCGGTCAAAGGTTCTCCGCTTTCCCCTTTACCCTTCACGCACTTTGCCTTAATCCTTTCCTTTCTTTTTTCTTTCTTATACACAAAGAGGCGCTCTCTTTCATCACCACAGGAATCTCAAAGAACACCCCATTGAAGAGAAACCTCATTTGCTTTTCTTTTCTCCAATTTTTTTTGTTGTTTCTTTTTTCTCGATTTTTGAGTAATTGGATTTGCAATAAGACGATGAGAGGCTATAAATTTGCGCTTTATTTTAAGGGTTCTAGGGGGGAAATCCTTTGAAATTAAAGCCAGTAAATTAACGAAAAAAAAATGGAAAATTTCCAATTAAAAAAATGGATGGGCTTAGTACGGGATTTTTGTGCTAAATAAGGGAGAGCAACGATTTAGAAAGAAAAAAACACGAGAGGGAATAGTGGGGTGGGATGATGGGATAAGGGGGATCATGGAAAGGGACTGCCCACTCACCTCTCCTTTTCCCGCATACAGCACACATGAGAGGGAAGGGGCAAACGGAGAAAGAGACACGCACACAAAGCACCCACTTTGCATCGATGCATCGATCGTTGTACCCTATGGAAAAGAAAAGGGGAAAAGGAAAGGCCAATGGATAGAGGAAAGAGAAGAAGAAGAAGAAGTGAGAGCCGCTTTTCGCCCATCCAACCGCCTTTCTCTTCATGACAGCCATCCCTTCCGGCTAAAAATCAAGACTCATGTCACTTACCCCAAAAATAATGTTTACCTCAAAATGTTTTTTTTGAATGTAAGAACGAAAAGACTCATTCACCAACCTAATATTTTGTAATTACTGCTAGATTTGCAGTCTTTATTAATAGGATTCGTAGATTTTTGGTCAACTGCTTGACAAAAAACTGCTTGATCAACTGCTCAACTTTCATTAACGCTTACTGGATAGGCACCCAATTGGAAACTAGAGCTTCATCGTGGAGATTAGTGGTCATCTTTTTCATCTTTTTGTTTTTCTGCTTAATTCAACGGATCATTTATCGAGATCGCGATTGATCACTTCATTTTTTTTTCTTTTCAGTGCAAAGGTTCTCGAGATCTCCTCTTGATTCTCGTGTGTCCATCCATCTTTGGAGCGAATCTCTTTTTTCTCAAAGGGGCTCATTTTCTCTTTATGGCTTTCCTCTTTTCAAGTAAGAATCTATCTTTTTTGAGATGGGGTTTTTGAGCAAAAAACGTGACTATCATGTGGGATTCGTTCTTCGTCAAGCTTTTTTATCTCTTGTTTTTTGATCTTAAAATAGACGAAATTTTGTTCACACTTTTCGAAAATAAAAAAAGTGCATTTGAGGAATGAATTGGCAGCTGTAAGGGAAGTGATTCACTTTTGCCACGAGTGTTTCTTTCGTTATTCTTTTTTTTAGCAAGCAATACAGTTGAAACTTCTCAATGATCTTTCTCAATTTTCCTCAAGTTGAATAAAGTGAATCAAAGTGGAGCTTTGACTGGAGCTCTTTAGAAGTTGAACATTGAAGCAAGCTTTTAGTCTAAAGATTTAAACAATAAGATTTAAACATTAAAAGCTTAAAGAAAGATATTCATATAGCTATATTATGTATATGTTGTGTCCGATTTAGATTTCCGTTCGATTTAGATTCAATCTAAATCGGACGTCCGATTTAGATTGAACTTATCGCGGACGTTCGATTTAGATTACAGTCTATATCGGACGTTCGATCTAGACTAGATTACAGTCTATATCGGACGTCCGATCTAGATTACAGTCTATATCGGACGTCCGATTTAGATTGAATCTAAATCGGACGAAAATCTAAATCGGACACAACATATATTTGTTGTGGGTTGTCCTGGAGATTCTTCTCTTTTCCACACTTTTCTCTCTTCTCCTGATCATATGTGTCGAAATGAGATTTTTATTTCGAATTTCGAATCTTGTTCATTTTGTTTTATTTCATTTCATCACTTGCCACACAAAGCTTTTCACGACAATATTTATTTTCCATTTGTTTCGAAAGATTAGTCATCAATTCAATACTTTTCCTCTTTCAAATCCGTTAATATCTTTTTTCAGAAAGCACCGAGCACCGATCCGATTTTTCCCCCTGATTTCTCTTTTCTTTTCTTTGTTTCTTCTAATATTGCTCGGCAGTTTCATGAAAAAAAATGAAAGAAAAGCCGAAAAAATGCACCGCCCCTAATCGGCTTTGAATACATTTAGAATCAAACGTTCTCAGCTCCCTTTTCCCTACACAAAACAAAAGCGAAATTTCTCGAAATTTTGCAATTTCGATCCTTTCCCCTTTGGAGTTGCACTCTTTTTTTAATTGACTCTAGCTGTAGTTTTTTTTTGCCTTTCCTTTCACCAATTGCATAAAATTTGATAGCCACAAGCTATGTTGTGACGAAGATTCAAACATCTTTCTCTTCCTTTTTCTAAGCACTTTGTTTCAGTGATCGACTTCAAAAAAAGAAATCGCCCGAAATATTGATCTGTTATTCATTTCTTGCACGCGATAACGTCGAAATCTGTCCGCCGGGCGACGCACGATTGTGGGTGGGGAAATGGTGGCCCAATCCTCGAGAACCCCACGCACCAACGAGGAGCCAAAAATTGCAGCAGATGATGAGAAACCGACACCAAATGTGAAAAAGAAAGAGAAGAAGAAAGGGTTGCTTTCAATGGCGGCTGGTGGGCTACGCAAGGCACTCGGAGCTCCGAAAACCATGCGCACACCCCGGGTTCATTATCCGGATGCCGAAGACATAATACCAGAAGAAGAGGATGAGGAAAGCAATCCATATGACACAGTTCGATCATTGCCCGCTTCGGGTCATTATGGACGTAGTCGAGTCGGTCATCACACTGCCACTTTCATTCCGGGAATTTTGCGAGTCTCTATCGATGATGGAAACAAAGCCACTCTCCCAACTACATCACCAATTGCTACCACCGTTTTGAGGCTTCCTCGTCGAAAGGGTGTCCCTGGTACAGCTCTCGCATTGCGCACTTCTCCCAAAGGCTCGATGCTTGACTCTCAAGCGTTTTACACATTAAGTAATGGTGGGTAAACGTTTCTCTTTTTCAGCCTTCCGTCTTTTCGTCATTTGATAGTATGGCCATTGGTGGAGCCTTTGATACAAGCACAATCTACATTGGTCTGATAATTATTTGAAAAGCTTTGATGAATTGAAATTAAAAGTCATTTTCAGAAAGCCAAGACGCAGTTTATTCGCTGTTCATGAAAGCGCACAAATGCTACGATTTGATTCCGATTTCAACAAAGCTCGTCGTTTTTGATACTCATCTACCGGTTGGTTTTAATAAAACCGTCGTAGCCAACAGGAGTTTTGTCTCCTAGTCGGGGGATCCCGGCGGCTAGAAAGATTAGTTCTTTTTCCCATTATTATGGATTTTTTCTTAACAACATTTAGGGAATAGGGGTAATTAGGGGTAAAAATCTCCATTATTCGTGTTGTAAATCATTATTCGTGTCGAATAAATATACATTTAAAAGAAAAAAAAACTATAAACAAGAATCCTAGGTTCGGAAAGCGTTTTATGCTTTGATTTACAACAATGTGAGAGCAGCTCCGTTGTACGATTCGGCGAAAGGACAATATGTTGGAATGCTTACAATCACTGATTTTATCAAAATATTATACAGGTAAAGGAATATTGTACAGGCTTTAGTACACCAAATAACTTTCAGATATTACAAATCTGGGGCTGAGGGTGAAGACGGAATGAAATCATTGGAAGAACAAGAGATCTCGCATTGGAGAGAGCGATTTGAAGAGGATGATGGAGCACAGAGAGAATTCATCACCGTTGATCCAAATCTCAGGTATACCCTTAGAGATTCGTCTTAGCTTGTCTTGAAATTTCTTTAACTCTTTCGAAAACGATATTCAGTTTGCATCGAGCCGTTCAATTACTCTGCACTCACAAAGTTCATCGATTGCCCGTTCTCGATCAAGCCACCGGCAATATTTCCTACATTCTTACCCATAAAAGGCTCATGAAATTCCTGTATCTATATGTAAGTCAAAAATAAAAGCCTTGAAAAAAGAAGATTTCTAGATTCATGATCTGCCGAGACCATCGTTTATGGAAAAGACGCCTAGAGAGTTAGGAATCGGCTCTTGGGGAGAGGTGAGTCACGTTTGAAAGTGAAATAAAGCTGAAAATATAGGTGCTAACAATTCATTCGGATACTCCATTGATCGAGGCTTTGAAGACTTTCCTTTCAAATCGGGTCTCAGCTCTTCCCATTGTCGATAATGAAGATCGGGTAAGCCATTGGCTTTCAAATTTCTCCAAAAAAAACTCCCAGGTTGTCGACATTTATGCAAAATTCGATGTGATCTCTTTGGCGGCTGAGAAAGTTTATGACAAATTGGATGTGACGGTCAGCGAAGCACTCAAATATCGCAATGATGTAAGGAAAGTTTTTGAGTCTCATTTCATTTCATTTTCAGACATTCGAGGGTGTTCATTGTTGCCATGAAACGGACACACTCTTCCAGGTGATCGAAACGATTGTCAGAGCTGAGGTTTGTTCTGTGTTTTTGTATCAGTTTTTTTGAATAAATCTTTTTGTTCTGAAAGTACAAAAAGAAATGAAAAGACTTATTTACCAACGACTTATTCACATTTACTGTAAACTTTTCAGGTTCACCGCCTGGTAGCCACGGACTCGTCGAAGAGAGTCGTCGGCATCGTCTCTTTATCCGATATTCTCAAGTATTTAGTGCTTGATCCACAGGTTAGTCAATGAAATTATAAAGATTGCCTAGGCTATTCAATGTTAAATAGATTTTTAAAAGCAATCAAACTTAGGTGCAACCAACAAAAAGTGAGCCAATGGATGTCTCTGATTACTCGCCTCCTCAAGTATTCGAGTCATTGGAAGAAGAGACTTCAGAGTGTCATTGAGAAGAGACTTCAGAGTGTCATTCTCTATATCGATTGATCTTCAAATACTCATCTAATGCTCGATTCTCATATCTGTTTTAGCTCAGTGATTTGAAAGACACTATCATTGATATGCAGTAGTTTTTGTTTTTCTGAAAAGCGTAGATTGTTTCTTAGCGTATCAATGGATTGTTTTTTAAACTTTTGTTGATCAGAGACTCGATAAGGTGGTGCTATTTGATCGTTTGTTTTACAAATGGAACGATGTTGATAAAGTGTGTCAGTTGATGAGACTGACTGCTTGTTTGATCGCTCGTTGCCATGAAAGCCTCTTCCCTTGCTGTAGCCTTCTCTCTGGCTCCTTTTTGATATAAACTCTAAATTTCTATTGTAAAATGTTTTCTCAAATCCGTTCCGATATTTATCCGGTTCTTGTACAGCTTGTACCTATCTGATGACCCCAAGAAAAGAAAAAAAAGTCGAATTTTGCAAATTGAAAAAAAAAAAAAATTACATGACAATCGACTCGTGTTTTATTCGAATATTCTTTTTGTTCAGGTACTGCCAAAATCGTGTGCGCTAACTTATAAAATGCCATCATTTGTTTTCTTCTCTTTTATTTTTGATTTAGCAGCTTCAAATGCTTCAGCAATGTAAATTTTCAAAAGCTTTTTTTGCTTTTTTTGCTTTTTCAGCTATTTTCCACTTGTTTGTTGTCTTCTCTAGAATTCAAAATGGTAATCCCATTAAAGAAAGAAAAAACAAAACACACATCTACATGTAAATTCGGGTCTTCTTCGGTAAATCTAACAAAGAATTTTCAAATCTATGACATGAATTCTTCCTTCATAAGCTTCTTGTACAGCTTGTACTTGAATTCTTCCCTCATAAGCCCAAATCTTTGTCCCACTTCCTCATCCCTTCAAAATAACCCTTTTTCTTTTGTTATATTCTTTCGTTATATTCTTTTGTTTTATCCTTTCGTTTTATCCTTTCGTAAAATCACCTTGAAATGTGCAAATGAATGTGGTTTTTTTTAGAAAAATCGAGTGTTCTTTGAAAATTTTGCCTTTACCTTCTTCCCATTTTCGTTTATTGTTCGTTTTGTTTCGGATTATTCATTTTTTGTTTTTCTTTGTTTCCCCTCCTCAGAAAAATTTAGCTACACGGATACAAAGCCAAACGGGATTTTCTTTCTCCTTCCCTCAAAAATAATCTTTTCCTTCTTCCGTTGACCTTCTTGAGCCGAAAAGGTTGCTTGTTTATTTCCCTTTTGCAAAAAAAAACCCCGGCTCTAGTTCCAGGATGTTGAATAAAATGTAGTAATTTTGTTGAAAATGAAAAGAAAATGCAAGTTATTTATTCTGAAACATCTAAAACACTCAAAAAGCATCAGAAATCATAATTTATATGTAAAAGATAAAAAAGGAAAATAAGAAAACGAAAAATGAGCTTTGGTGGGAAGATTTGAAGAAAGAATTGCACAAATCGCCAAAACAACATCGCATTTCGTCGCCTCTGAAAAGAATGACTTTAGAGAACTATAGTAAATTACTATAGTAATTATTATAACTATAGTAAATTTCCTACAGCTTTGCGAAAAAGTATCATGATGTTTTCAAAGTTTACGAAAAAAACGCACGAGAATGTAGGTGAAAACGGTCGATGCAATCCATCGGAGAACGTGGGTTTCGGAATCGATTCACCAACGAATAAGCCTTCACTCTGAAATTTGAACAATTACTCAAAGATTTCTTTATTTGATTAACATAGATTAACCTTATAGTTACCATTCTAAGCACAAGTTATTCAGCCATCTTGATTGAGTACGGTCATTTCAGCATACTTTACTTGATACTAATGTTAGAGGCTAAGTAACGCAAATAATGTTAGATGCTTAATATAAAACCTGCATAGCTTTAAAACCCTACCGGACAATCGCTTCGAAACAAATTTTGCTCTTCATCATAAGTAATCGAACATCCACGATAGATTGAGGAGAGATTTCTTGAAAAAGTCAAGCACATCTCTCCACCCACGCATTCTTCCTTAAAGCACTCTTTTTGAAGAAACTATTTAAAGCAATATTTCGGATTGTAAGCGATTCTTGAGAAAAATTTGTTATTGACCTCATACATACCGTAAATACTGTAATAGTACCCCAGCCCCATAATGACGGTGCGGAGTGTTGCGTAGTCTAGCTTTGAACGAGTTTTTCTCGACACTGGTTTATGCTACAATGCGCGCTTAGGTATCAAAAAATAGCCCTCAATTTCAGCTATTTTTTGATACCAAAGACGAATTTTTTGAAAGTACGGGTGCTTTCAAAAAAAATGAAATTCTAAAAAACTTTTGCGACTACGCGACTGTACGAGGGCGGTGGGGTACTATTACAGTATTTACGGTAGATAGATTATAAATTAAATTCTATCTAGAATCCAACCAGCTTAAAGATTAGTCAACTTAAACATAAAACCTTGATGATGATCAAAATATGAATCAAAATTCAAAATGAAAACCTTGATGATCTTATCATTGTATCCGTGAAAGCATTCAAGTGGATTCCCTGCTCGAAAAACGAAAGCGACCAACAAAAAAGTAAGCATTTCATCTAATAATCTTTTTCTTTTCTATTTATAAATTAAAATGTTAATTTTAGCAGCTTTCTAAATGCAAATTTCTTTTTTCCAATGATTTTCGACATTATTTTCCTTTTCTTTTTCACTTTTTAAACCGTAAACGAAGTCAACATCCGAAATTCGGAGAGTAAACAGCAGAAAATACATGTATGAAAATAGGTAAAAAAAAGAGAGAGTTGTTGGCTTAGCGAAAGTTGTCGACATCAAGGATTGAGATCTCTTTTGGAGTGTGTTTCGATGTAGTTGGTACAAGAGTTCATATCACCGGAAATCTTGTTTTTAGATTTCATTCGAACACTTGTCCAGATGCTCCAACTTTCTCATAACCCAGTCTTTAACCCGCCAACTTTTTTACCGCCATGACCGACTGGCTAAGAGCCTTGTATCTTAGTCAGAAGGTCAATCGGTTTAATCTCGGCTAGATTATTGGTTTTTCCATTTATATGGCTTTCCCTACATTTAGAGCTTAGAGGTTGTGCTTGTGTATTGTTTGTATCAAATTATTCGTGCGAATCAATGTGTTTTTAAAAACATCTTGTTTTCATAAACCCTTTGTTTAATCATCACTTTCGAGATGCTTGTGTTTTCCCCGACAATCAATTACTATTCCCAAGCGCTCGTAATGGATGATTAAACGATTTTGAATTTATTCACCTGCACAAAAACACATTTCTCCTTCACAGATCATACTTCAAGAGAAGGGAAGAGAAGGGAAGAGCTCAGTTCTCGAATTTTCTGTCAACAATAGGGGAAAGGGTAACCGTAGCAAGAGCGGCAGTCGTTTCACATCGTTTCCATCGTTTTAGACAGACATCACAGGCAAATACTGTATTTGTGAGTCATTGCTCTCTTTTCCCCCATTTTTCTCCTATGACCCTCCCCCAAAAATTGCTATTTATAAGCCTTTCGCACTCCGAATTTCATTCGACTCTCGTCGACTCTTCAACAATTCAAAACATTGTTTTCAGTTTATTTCAGCTTTCGAGAAGAATAAGTAACTTGTTTTGAATGAAGATCTTGTACATCTTTTTATTTTCTTTATTTTCTTTATTTTCTTTATTTTCTTTCTTTATTTTCTTTATTTTCTTGTACATCTTTTTATTTTCTTTACCGTAAACGTAAAGCTATAGCAAAGTGTCATTTTCAGAACTTTCATCATGCAACGAGTTGTGAGCCTTCTATTCTTGCTTTCTTGTTGCCAAGCGGCGAACATCCTCAACTTCAACAATCCAATGGAAAGAGCCAAGAGAGACATTTCATTGGCTGTTACTGGATCTTGTATTGTTACCGTAAGTTGTACAATTCTCATGAGTTTAACTTTTTGAAACTCAAATGATAACAAACGAATCAAATCCAGGGTGATCAACTGTTCGCCAACGGCTTCGCGGTGAGACAACTCAACGACACCGAGCAAAATCTGATGCAACAATATCAACAAGATCTTCAAGAGTATAAAACGGTAAAGATTTCAGAAATCTTCTATATCTTTCTAGCTTTCATTACCTATATTTTAGACTCGTCAACAATTGCAGGCTCAATTGCAAAATGTGACTATGAGACGAATGCGCGGCCAACAACGTTCGTTTATTTCGCAAAACATACAAAAATATTTACTCGAGAAAGGGTCAATCTTTTTGGGGAAATTGTTTGAAGAGTTTTGATGGGAATTGAGTAAATAAAAGACTTCGGAGTGGCCATCAAAGAAATCGAATTTCTGAGAAATGAGAAACTGGGATCAAAGAAAGATCAATTGAGGAAGAAATCAGAAAAATATTACATGTCTTGAAATCTCTGTTTACGTCTGATTTGGCTTTCAAATTACAAAATCAATAACATATACATAGATAAGTTGACAAGCTAGATAAGCTTGAGATAAGCTTTAGTGTCCCAGACAGAACAAGAAGCTCTTCAGCAGTTGAGAGTTGACAATAGATTTAGTTTTAGTGTCCCAGACTGAACAAGAAGCCCTTCAGCAGTTGCGCAGCTTGCAATCCCCATCGGCGCCAAGTTTCTGCAGTGGAAACGATACGACACTTTACATTTTTGACGGATGCATGATCCAGGTAACATAAAAATCTATTTAAAAAAGATACCAAACTTTTAGGACAATAAAGTTTATGTGGGAAACAACTATGCCCGAGATTTGAGCTCTGATGAGTCACAACAACTCGAGGTAGGGGAGATTGAGAATTGTAGCTATATTGTAGATAAAGCCTAGCTTATTTACATGTTTTAAGAAATCACAAAGTCACAAAAGAGTTAAAATCACAAAAGAAATCATAAAAAGAGTTAAATTTTAGGATTTCCTCACTCAAATCGACGCCTACATGCAATACAAGCAGGGTCAACTCGATCAGGTGATCAAGTCAAAAAGTTGTGATAACTCTTTGCCCAATATTCCAGAAAATGTCCCAATTCGCCAACAGGATGCAATCAATGTTCGGTGGACAAGATGATGACAATGAAAACGATGATGGAAATGATGGATCGAGCAACTCTGGAATGAACTCCTCGCCAGCCTCTTTCCCCTCATCCACTCCATCCAGTCCTTCATTCTCCTCATCATCTCCATCTTCTTCAACCGCTCCCACTTTCCCAACTCCACCACAATTCTGCTTTTCTTTCTAAACAGTAAAATAATATTTTTGTTTTAAAAACCCTCCCTCACATCTCATTATACTGGTATCTGAAAAGTTCTATGCCTTGATTTCTTTTGTCTTCTTTGTGCAATGTCTTCCAGTGTCTTGTGCAGTGTCTTCCTTGTGCAATGTCTTCCAGTTGATTGGAATAAAGGAGTCTTGGTTCTTAGTAGTTATACTCCTGCGATAATTATTTGTAATGGAAAAAAAATATGGAAAACATGACTCAAGATCAGCACAAATTAGAGATTTTGCTTGGAGATACGACAAACAAATCTCGGTTTGGAGTTTTCCAACTTTTCCAAAGGTTCTTTCCCTTTTTTTATCCAGCTCTTCGCCACTTCTTGTTTCCAGGAAGTGCCCAGAGTGCACCGCGAGGAGGTGGCTGAACTTCGCACTCCGCCACCCTGTAGTCCGAAGACTCTTGGGATCCGAGGTCCACGTCTGGTCCTTGGCGATGGCACTGACTCCCGCAGCAAGAATGCTCAGCTTGCTAAGGTGCGCGTAGCGTAAGTAGGAGAATGCTCCGAAGTTACACTTTGTTGATACTAAAAGGGATTGATCTGATCCCCAGTCGGTTTAAGAACCTCACGGTTCCTCCAATGGGTGTCCAAACTTCCGCCATCTAGACGACTGTCGAGTAGCGGACAGCCGACGGGAGCCGGAGCCCAAAGGGAGCATAATTGTAATCCGGTTACGAGCAACAGACCATTCTGCCTCCCTCCACGGGTGGCAGTGCGGAATAGTAGCGATTCCACGAACTTCAGCTGTATCCCTCACGGGAGACTGTGGATCTTTCCACAAGAGGAGCAAGCTTCTACAAACTCTGTCTCCAAAAATCGTTTATACTCTTAAAACCGTGCGGGGACCAATGTGAGAGTGGACACAAAGGCACAAGAAGAGCGAGGGAGCCGGGTATATGGAAAGGCCCTCTGCCAGAAAGTGCGCGATTGTGCGCGCCCCCAAAGAACACCAATCTGCCTATTCAGTTCTAGTTAGTTCTAGTTTTCGGGCCTTTTCTCAGCCATGCTTTGACGGATTGGGCCATCCTGCACGGGTGGCACTGTGAAACATCAGCGGTTCCCCCACGGGAGACTGTGGAATGCCACAACATCCTTTCGGTCTGCTGCTCGAGGCTATTCGTTATAATCGACCCTGGCTAGCCCATGGCTCCAGGCGCCGACCAAGCTTCTTCAAACTGCTTCACCATTTTTTGCGATTTATACTCTTAAAACCGGGGGGACCGATGCGCGAGTGATGACAAAGGCATAAGTGAAGTGAAGCGGCTTGGTTTATGTAAAGGCCCTCTGCCAGAAAGTGCGCGATTGTGCTCGCGCACAAAGAACATCCATTCGCTTATTAAGCGATTTAGTTTTTCGGCCGTTTCTCAGCCAGACTTTGACGGATCGGGCTCATTTTTATGTCAAAAGATACTCCTTTGAAAAACTGCATCAAATGGGCCCGGGTTCGTTAGGCAAAAAGTAAGTTTGAGTTGATAAAAACAAGATCGAAGCTTTTGACAGTGATTTCCATACCAGTTTGGCGATTGCCTACTCAACTCTTCAAGGATGAGCCTAATTCTTTTGAAAATTACATAATTAATTAAATTTCCTAATTATCAAAGCAAAACAGAGTCAACTTGCCGTCGAAATTCGCAGGAAAATATGAAATCACATGAAAAAGAGGGAGGATTTCATTCAAATGCATGCATTTGCTTGCTTTTGCTATGCTTTTGCTATGCTTTTGCTATGCTTTTGCTATGCTTTTGCTATGCTTTTGCTATGCAAATCTCTGAAAATTCGTCAAATTTTTAAGAAATTCCTCAAATCTTTGACAAAATCATTTCTGTTTCTGTTTCTACTCAACATTTAACACAGTACACCGAAGATTTCTGAGATTTTTCATCAAAATCTGGAAAATTCTCGAAAGAGATCTCTCCTCTTTACACTGGCGATCGCCGCGCTTTCCTCGACGCCGATCTCGAGCGATTTGGACATTTGCCAGCTGTGCTCTAGCTTTTCCTTTTCAACGCTCGAAACAGAACCATGTTTTCCCTTGTGAATTTCCCCTATGTTGTGCTGGATCGAATCATTGGCTATTTGGATCGAGATGAAGTGGCCACTTGTAGACAAGTCAATCGTTTCCTCAGAAGGTTTTCATCAAAGATTCTATCAACAATAATCGATTTTTAAGATTCATCGATGCAAATCGTCACCATTATCCACTTCCACCAATCACCATTTCGATTGAAAGCGAAAAGTTTTTTCGAACGGTTGTTAGTGAGGAAATGTTGTTAATCGATCTTTTAGAGCGTTGCAATCACAAAAACGATGGTTTGGACGGGAGCAAGGAGAAATATTGTACTTTCTGAAAGGGTAAAGATTGCTAAATTGGTAAAGATTTGAATAAACATAATTTTTAGCAAGGGATGAGTATGTTAGAGCAAATGTGGCAGGCAATGCTTGAAGCTGCTGAATTGGAAGAAAGGGAAGAAAGGGAAGAAATCGAAGAAGAAGATGTTGAAGGAAATGAAGAGGTTCTACAAAAATACTTGAAAAGACTCTGTAAAACAAATTCATGTTACAGAACAATTCTGAAAAGGTAGAAGATAAAGAAGACGGAAAAGACGATGATGATGTAATTGAGGAATTTCTTTCTGATGATGATTTTCGAACACGAATCCACTCGGTCCCCTCAATCATCAGTCAGTTTTCAAAAGCAATCTTGTTACTTTTCTGATTTCAGATACTACAGCCAAACTATTTACGAGAATCTTTGAGAAATATTACATCAGTGTTCTCGAAATTGTGAGCACAGAAGAAAATTTTCTTTGTGCTAATAAAAACTTACAGGATGAAGTGGGAAGTGATATTTTGAAAGGGATTGCGAGTTCATCAAAGAAATCACAACAAACCGTTGAGAGACTCGACTTGAATCTACAAACCAATCAAGTGGTAAAGCTACAGTACTGGACAATGAAATATGATATTTGAAAAACGATCGTCATTTTCGCGCGTCTGTAACTCCATTGTCTTTGAGTTTAAACTATTAGTGTTATACATTTTCTGAAAGCTCTTTTCAAGGACTACACAATGGTAGTATTACTATTTAGAAATACGGTAAAGACAAGGGAGTTATAGACGCGCGAAAGTGACGATCTTTTCTCAAATATGATATTTCATTGTCCGGTAGTGTATTTTTCGATTAGGGAAACATTTTAAAAAAATCTAGATTGATGATGTGATCTAAATGTGATTCAGTTTCTTCGACCGCACAATCTCAAAATTGGAAACATTGATGCTAAAGTAAATGAGGGAACTCATTTCTAAAGCACAATTTTTACAGGATATTTCAAAAGTTCTCACTTTGCCCACGGTCAGCGATTGTTTTCGATTAGATTTTGATATGGACACTGACGAAGTGGCAACAGATGCACCAGTTGAGGTTTGAAAAAAAGAGAAAAGATCAAATCTGAATGAGATCAAAATTTAGGTATTTCTTTCGTTGAGATGCGAACGTCTTAATCTTCCTATCGGCACCACGCTTAACTCAGCCACGTTGAATCTCATTTTGAAGGTTTGCCTTGACAAAAGTATTAGGTTGCCCAGAAAATCTTTTCTTTCTGGACAGCCTAACATGATTACATTTAGGAGTGGCACTGTGGAAAGAGAAACTTTGCAAGCGTTGAGGCTTGGGAGCTTTTCGGCGCAATCGATTTCGATCCACTTGTCGTTTTTGATGGTTCCACTTGTGACAAATTTCAAATTTTACCGTTCTATTTAGGCCTTATGTGTCAAAAGTTTACTGCAAGAAGTCCTAGAGCCTCTCTACCGCCAGCTACATATTATCGGTTTTAATTGGGCAATTAAACGAATTCGAAATGAATTTAGGATATCGAGAAGTCACGAGAGTTTGACGGTTTTCACGAAAGGGACAGCTCTTCTCATCAATCATCCTGTCGATTATATGTTGTCAATTGGAAGTGTCTTTCGTTAAAAATACTGTAAAATGTAGATTCTCTACAGTAAACCGAAAGAAACTATTTAGCCGTTAAATTGATTAGCTTTTTTGAAGCAATCAGTCTTGTCAGCTGAATACTCTCATTCCAGCTTGAGGCAACTTTACAGTATCTTTAAATTTCTTCGATCCATGTACCGGTGATAGAATAATAAATCTATTCAATCGCTTTACTCAATCCAATTCCAACAGCAATGGCAAGAATGAAAGAAATCGAGATTCCGAGCGAAGACAAAGAGTCAATCAAAGGATTTCTCGAAGAGCTTTTAAAGTAAGGACGTGGTTCTCACAAAAATCAATCTCATGACCAAGCTGCGCAAAAAAGGCAGCTTCTGCGTAGAATAAAAGTTTTCTGATAATGATAATTAAAGATAAGCTAAATGATAATAATAATTAAAGTTTCAACAAACAATTGGAAATAATGAAAAAAAAACTAGATGACTAGGGAGATATCAACTGTGGGGTAAACAAACAAGAAAGAATCTGTGTAAGTTTTTCTGATACAAATGTTGGTAACGCAGAAAAATACGGTATACCGTCTCCAATTAGTACTCTCCGCCAGAATTTTTGTATTTTTTGCTTTATAGCATTATAATATTAGAAATGTAATAACTACTTTTTGAAAAGATTTTGCAGTTTTTCTGCGTTTTAATATAAACTGAAAAACGTGGTTCTCACAAAAATCAATTTCACGACGAAGCCGCGCAAAAAAAGGCAGCTTCTGCGTAGAATAAAAGTTTTGAGTAGATTTGCTTAAAAATGATTAAATTTCCAGGGAAAGGAATTAAATAAAATCAAAAATAACATTGGTCTCCCGACAAAATGCTTATAAACGATGTCCAAATTTAAGAATAAATGCAAATTAGAAAATCCTTCCTTATGGTGTTTGTAAATTGTAAACTTGTTTTCTCAATATGATTGTTCATTCAAAAATAGAATTCAAATGTTTTAAGAAGAAGTTTTAACAGAAAAAGAAAGATTCGATGTTTAGGAAAATTCATAATTGACACGACGATAATTAGAGAAAAGTTAAAGATGAAAGGGGAAACACGAAGTTTAAAGTCTTCAACCGGCAAGATTCGACAGACTCGATAATAGCTAAAAATTTCGAAAAGAAATTATAGATTTCAAAAGTTTTCAAAAGAGCGTGCCTTTCTCGATTTTTCATAATCAAGGCATATCAAATTTGCGCAACAGTTAACGAAATCAAAATTAGAAAAAAGTAGCAATGGTTGTTTTTTTCACTCGGTTCTTAATCATATTGAATTTAAATTTATAATTCTTAATCATATTTACAGAATAGACCAGAAGATAGAATAGACTTGAAAAGCTAATTTTTCCGTAAGTTTAATTTTTTGAAAAAACGGGGAAGATTAGAAAGGGAGCGAAGGAAATTGTTGGGGAGTTTGTGGAGAGGCATCCATTGTTAAGCTTTGCCCATCCTTTTTATATTTTTTGATTACTTTCAATTCACTCAAAAAGCGCATCAAACTGTCGTCGTAGCTCAAACTCGCTCTCCACACACAGGGCTCTTCCCACCCTTGAGTTGACTCCTAAATCAACGAGTGTTCAGTTTATCTGTAATCTATCTTATACGGTTCAATCTATCTGTATTTTTTACCTGCGAGTAAGCTTGCGTGAAGGATTGTTGTGGATATTGTTGAGGATACTGCCCATCAAGAACTGGCATCTCACTCGGCATTTCCTGAGGATAAATTCTCATTCCTAAGCCATCAGTGCAATGAACAGCTTGTTGTTGAAGATGTTGCTGATACGATTGAACCATGAGCGTTGGTTGCACCCCAGCTGTGCTCATTATGGGCTGAAATTTTCTAATCAAGTTATTACAGCTATCTTTACCACTGCTGTTTGAGCGGGGATTTGATGACCCATCTCGTGGTAAGGCAGCTAAAAATATTTATTACTTTAAATTTTAAAAAACAGTCTTTCAAAGAAGTTTTGATGTTTTAAATAAAATCTTATCTTTAGCTATGCTTACTTTCTGTGATCCAATTGATCGAAAACCTACCATTCGTTCAAACTCAATCATTTCCAAGAGAAGAGCCGATCGTCTTTCTTGCGAGCCTGTGTCCAGATATGATTGAGGAGGAGCGGGAAGCATTATCTCTTGCTGTTCAATGAGATAATCATTCTCAATTTGACTCACAGGGTGCTCCTATAAAGAGAATCAAAGTGTTTTAGTTATTCGAGGCATGTTTTAGCTATAAAATTGTCTGAGTGAAACGACGAACATTCAGCATTGGCGGTGTCTCATCATCAATTCGTCTACACAACAAATCATTCTCGGTAGCCACCGTCGCTCCGACAGCCATAATGGATTTCGGTGATGGAGTTGGAGTTGGAGTTTTTGGAAAGTTTTTGGTATAAAACTTGAGCTGGTTTTTGTTTGATTTGATTTGAAATTCGTGCTGTTTTAAATGCATTCCTTGAAATATCATAATTTTCTAGCATTGTTATCTATAGTTTTTTTTAGCTCTATTTTTTAGCTCTAGAATTTTTAGCTCTTATTTTTTAGCTCTAGAATTTTCCGTGTCGAATTGGGAAGGTTTGCTTTTTTTTCACTGAAGGGCCGTAAACGCCAGCAAACAGTTGATTGAGAATTTTTTTAAGTTAAAAATTGTTCCATTTTAGTAACCAGCCAGAAAAAACCCTGCCTAACGGAGGGTTTTTCTGGCTGGATGTTTTGGGGCTGACAAATAGTTTTTGTCGCCGTGGCGCAGTCGGGAGTTGTGTCTACCCGTTGTTGTCGCGTAGCGTGTCTACGCTACGCTAGTAGCGCAGTGTCTACGGTTCACACGACTCAGGTTCGACTCCCACTCGTAGTGCCACTCAATTTTGACTTTTTAAATTTTTACTTTAAGAGTCACAACTATACTATATTTGAAGATTTTTGAAAAATTGAAGTTTTTTTGGCCCAAAGACGGCCGAGAAAAAGTTCGTACAGACGGACGGACTATGTCAAACTTTCATCTCGATCGGCTCAGCGGTTTTTTCTAAAACCGCATAACATACAGACAAATAGTTTTTGTCGCCGTGGCGCAGCCGCGAGTTGTGTCGTGTAGCGTGTCTGCTAGTAGCGCAGTGTCTACGGTTTACACGACTCAGGTTCGACCCCGCTCGTAGTGCCACTCAATTTTGACTTTTTAAATGTTTAACTTAAGGGTCACAACTATACTATATTTGAAGATTTTTGAAAAATTTAAATTTTTTTTGGCCTAAAGACGGCTGAGAAAAAGTTTGTACAAACGGACGGACGGGCACTTGCCCACGCCCACACGACCCGGGTTCGACTCCCGTCGTGACTTACTTTGAAAAAAGCGAAATATGAGATAACTAAGCCCAACAAACTAAAAATCATGTAAATCGGCCCACGGGGAGCCGAGAACTCGCGCGTACAGACGGACGGACGGCCAGACACTGCTCTTTTAGATATATTGGGTTGGGGAGAATGAGTCGGCGCCGAAAATCAAAAAAATGTCTAAAACTTCTATTCGACTTCGTCAAATAATATGCGTTTGATATGAGTAGAATGGTTAACTAATTCTCTACAAAATGACATTTAAAAGAAAATTCAAACAGCGCCTCCGCTCAAGAAAAAGCCATTTTTTCACAAAAACTACAAACTGTGATCTAGAAAAAACCATTGGTGGGATCTTCCTGCAAATTTGGCAACTTAAGTAATTGAATGTGCTCTATCTTTTTTATATAAACACCAAAGAAGGTTTATGTGAAAGAAACTGTTCAAATGATGAGTCGGACTCTTTGCCATTTTAACCAGCTGCGTTTGGAAGTTCATAAACTCCACGAAAGAAAAGCTTTGTGGAATCTCTCAAAAGTGATTTTGTAGAGAAATAGTGGATCCTTTTGATGAAACCAAACGTATGCTTAAAGAAGGCTTTATGTGTGCAAAAAGTCCCTTTAAAGTTCGGCGCCGACTCATTCTCCCCAACCCAATAGTTTTCTTTGCGGGGAAAGGAGCGGGGACCACCCACATAGCAGCTCGAGAGATATCATGATTTAAGAGGAGAGGCTAGACCATCTCTTCATTTATCCTACCTTCTAACATTTCTCTAGCTTTTGGGAAAAAGAACACACGATTAACAAGCACACACACACGAACACATTCCCCAATCGATTGTCTTCTATTTTCCTCTATTTACTCTATTTTCCGCCTTTTTTTTGTTGAATTTTTCTTTCTTCAATTACAACCTTTATTACTTTGATAATATTGTCTCATTTAGTGACAATCTTTGCCTAATTTGATGCGTAGATGATTGTCAATGCGAATTTGAAAACATCACCAAGTGTAGAGGAAATTTAGGACAATAGCATTGTGGAAATTTAAGGAAATTTAGGACAATAGCAAGTGGGTTTAATTTGTTGCTAGAGCTCCTATCCTCTCAAAAATCTAGACGTATTCAGCAAAATTAGGATGTCTTTTTCAGTGATCGCTCGAAGGCAACGCGTGGATTTGATTGGAGAAAGGTTGAGTGCGAATAACATTCAACCAGTTTGGCCAGGTAAAATCTTTTAGATTTTCCCATTCAACAGCTTTTTTTCAGTTTCCTCTGCTCCCGCATTTGTTGCCCCCCTTCCACCGGTGGCTTGTTTTTCAAAATTTAGCTAATTTATGATTTTTGCCAGATCAATTATACGATTGCTTCAACGAAGAATTCTTCAACAACTTCACCTGATCCGAAACCAAAATTACGAGGTACTAATAGAAACTGAAAATTACACAAAAAGAACGGCACTCGTGTAAAGTAAGTTCTAGAAAAAAATGTATTTGCTTTACAAATCGAAAAATGAAAGTGTAAGACACGCAATGTAATTAAAGGAAAAGGAGAGAGCGGACACCGGAGGAAGATCCAGAGAGCTCAGCAGAGAGTGACACGGTCGACATCGAGTCGATGGAAGAGTTTGCATGCAAATGGGAAACATGCCAGAAAGTGTTCACCACAAAAAAAGGTTTAGCGTGTATCGTTATGCCCAAAAATCGTGAGAATGCTTTAGGTAAGTGCTTTAATATTAGATTGGTGAAGAAGCCTTTTCCTTCCTTTTCATCTCTCCTTTTCACCAACCTAATAACTCTAAAAGTTTCAAGTGAACTTTAGAAAGAAGCCCTTCCGAGCTCTCTACATGTTGGTGATTCACGTAAGAAGGCACACCAAAGAAAAACCACACAAATGTCAAGTTGCTGGATGTTCAAAGAAATACAGTCGCCTTGAGAATCTCAAAACGCACAAACGATTTCACACCGGCGAAAAGCCATACAAGTGTGGGGCACCGAAATGTGAAAAGGTATACAATACAAGTCAATACAAGCCAATCCATTGTCTTTCTTGCGAGCCTGTGTCCAGATATGGCTGAGGAGGAGCGAGAAGCATTATCTCTTGCTGTTCAATGAGATAATCATCCTCATTTTGTTCGACTGGGTGTCCCTATAAAGAGAATCAAAGTGTTTTAGTTATTCGAGGCATTTTTTAGCTATGAAATTGTCTGAATGAAACGACGAACATTGAGCATTGGCGGTGTCTCATCATCAATTTGTCTACACAACAAATCGTTCTCGGTAGCCACCGTCGCTCCGACAGCCATAATGGATTTCGGTGATGGAGTTGGAGTTAACGGCTGAAACTTGTGATCATAGAATCGATCTTTTACAGAAACAAACCTCAAAATGGGATTCGAATCTCTGTTGAATGATTCGATCATCGATTCTCAAATTTTGGGTTGACTAAAATTTTCTTTTATTAGTGATTTTTCGAATTCTTGTTACCCTAGCAATTGCTGCCATTTCTTCATCAAGTTCGTTGAATGGCTGAGATTGGACGGAAGGGATTTGAATGGGTATTACTGGTACATTCATCCCATTATCCATGTAGGATTGCTGTGAACCTAGAGCTGTGATAGTGGGTGCATATGGATTTATAATTTGTGGTGGTGGATAGGACGTCACAGCTTGCAACACTCTTGTTGCCGTTCCATTTCTTGGATCCGTGAAAATGCTCTCCTAAAGAAATTTCACTGATTGATTTTAAACTAATAACCTTAAAGATGTCTTGATCTTCATGATAGCCGGCAACCCGTATGCGTCCAGTTTGTTCATAAAGCTAAATTTGTTTTGTTAATAGATGCTCCTTTTGACAAACTCCTTTCTAAACCTTTTTCGGCCATCGTCCACCAGCTTTCATTAGCTTGTTCATCTTAAACATTTCATACACTTCATCGCCGTGCACGGTTTTAATGTGCTTCCGAAGGCTTGATGTATCGGTGTAAGCCTTCGTACATCCTTGATAATCACACGAGTGAGGCTTCTAAATTGTGGCACTTTGTTAAATTCTTCTTTTATTAGCTCACCTCATTTGAATGGGTTCGGTTCCTGTGTTTGGCTCGATCACTAGCATTGCTGAAGGTCTGAAACAATGGATTGGCTTGTATTGGCTTGTACTGTATACCTTTTCACAATTCGGTGCCCCACACTTGTATGGCTTTTCGCCGGTGTGAAACCGTTTGTGCGTTTTGAGATTCTCAAGGCGACTGTATTTCTTTGAACATCCAGCAACTTGACATTTGTGTGGTTTTTCTTTGGTGTGCCTTCTTACGTGAATCACCAACATGTAGAGAGCTCGGAAGGGCTTCTTTCTAAAGTTCACTTGAAACTTTTAGAGTTATTAGGTTGGTGAAAAGGAGAGATGAAAAGGAAGGAAAAGGCTTCTTCACCAATCTAATATTAAAGCACTTACCTAAAGCATTCTCTCCATTCTTATCGACATCAATGTTTTTAACATGCTTAACCAGGGCCTGAATTTTCATGGACGATTTTTGGGTATAACGATACACGCTAAACCTTTTTTGTGGTGAACACTTTCTGGCATGTTTCCCATTTGCATGCAAAGTCTTCCATCGACTCGATGTCGACCGTGTCACTCTCTGCTGAGCTCTCTGGATCTTCCTCCGGTGTCCGCTCTCTCCTTTTCCTTTAATTACATTGCGTGTCTTACACTTTCATTTTTGTTGAATGGGAAAATCTAAAAGATTTTACCTGGCCAAACTGGTTGAATGTTATTCGCACTCAACCTTTCTCCAATCAAATCCACGCGTTGCCTTCGAGCGATCACTGAAAAAGACATCCTAATTTTGCTGAATACGTCTAGGTTTTTGAGAGGATAGAAGCTCTAGCAACAAATTAAACCCACTTTCTTCGGCAATCCGTGTGGCACCATTCGGCACCGGAAGAGTCCAAGCTGCTGATCTTGCTTCACCAAGGCCTTAATGTTAATTTAATTTAGCATTTACCAATAAGATTCTTGTCTACATCTCACTAAATGTGTTGTAAATTACGAATTACTTTTTATTCTCACAACCTTCAAAATTAGGCAAAGATTGTTACTAAATGAGACAATATTATCAAAGTAATAAAGGTTGTAATTGAAGAAAGAAAAATTCAACAAAAAAAAAGGCGGAAAATAGAGCAAATAGAGGAAAATAGAAGACAATCGATTGGGGAATGTGTTCGTGTGTGTGTGTGCGTGTGTTCTTTTTCCCAAAAGCTAGAGAAATGTTAGAAGGTAGGATAAATGAAGAGATGGTCTAGCCTCTCCTCTTAAATCATGATATCTCTCGAGCTGCTATGTGGGTGGTCCCCGCTCCTTTCCCCGCAATCGATCGACGCTGAGGCATTGGCAAATGAAGAGCTTGGATATGAATACTTGAAAAGATTTTGTAAATAAAATTCATGGTACAGAATGATTTCGAAAAGGTAGAAGGTCAAGGAGAAGACGAAAACGAAAAATAAGATGATGATGTAGTTGAACAATTCTTTTCTGATGAGGATTTTCGAACACGAATCCACTCGGTCCTCTCAACCATCAGTCAGTTTCTACAGCCGAACTATTTACGAGAATCTTTCAGAAATATTACATCAGTGTTCTCGAAATTGTGAGCATAGAAGAAAATTTTCTTTGTGCTAATAAAAACTTAAAAGTGTTTCAGTTTCTTCGACCTTTCGAGATTTTTAGGTTGGTGAATAAGTTTTTTGTTCCTTTTAGTACTTCCGTTTAAAACCAACAAATGCACCAATTGAACTATTTGTTTCATTAGAAAGGCGAATTATTTTTCTGCAAAGTAATAAAGGTTGTAATTGAAGAAAGAAAAATTCAACAAAAAAAAGGTGGAAAATAGAGCAAATAGAGGAAAATAAAAGACAATCGATTGGGGAATGTGTTCGTGTGTGTGTGCTTGTTATGAAGAGATGGTCTAGCCTCTCCTCTTAAACCATGATATCTCTCGAGCTGCTATGTGGGTGGTCCCCGCTCCTTTCCCCGCAAAATAACATTAATCCGGGTTTTAAATGTCGTATGTCTGAATTTTTTTTGGAAGCGTGAAGTCTGGTAGTCAAAAAGGGCGACGACTCGATGATGTGGTTTAAACACCTTAGCTAAGGAAATCTATCTTGGTGTCTATAGATAAAAGATAGAGCACAAAAAGTTAGTAATAGAGTCAAATTTTCAGAGAAATTCATTCTGCCAATTTCTGGGTAGAGGTTTTTATAGATTTTTACGAAAAACACGTTTCTTCACTCTCGAATTTGCTTGAAAGTGAACCGAAATTGACTTAAAAAGATGGAAAATTGACTAATAAACATTTTTTATTTAGACTTAATAATTTAAAATAAAGTTTTCGACATTTAAAATGTATTAGGCTATCCAAAAAGTCTTTTCGTTTCTTTTCGTTTTCTTTTCTTTTCTTTTCGTTTAAAACCAACTTAAAACCAACCAATTGAATTATTTCTTTCATTAGAAAGGCCAATTATTCTTCTGCAAAGTAACATTAAAACGGGTTTAAATTTTCTTATGGCTGGTTTTTTTTGGTAGCGTGAAGTCGGGTAGTCAAAGAGGGGACGACTCGATGATGTGATTTAAACACTTTAGCTTGGAAAATCTATTTTGGTGTCTATAGATAAAAGATAGAGCACGAAAAGTTAGGTATAAAGTCAAATTTTCAGAGAAATTCCTTTAGCCAATTTCTGGGTAGAGGTTTTTAAAGATTTTTACGAAAAACACGTGCTTTCACTCTCGAATTTGCTTGAAAGTGAACCGAAATTGACTTAAAAAGATGAGAAATTGACTTCTCAAAAAAGCTCGACAAAAAGACGGATCGATGATGCGGTTTAGACACTTTAGCTAAGGAAATCGCTCTTCGTGTTTTTAGATAAAAGACGAAGCACAAAAAGTTTGGTATTTTTGAGAAAGATGCGAAAATGAACAATATATACTTTTTATTTACAGCAAATCATTCGTGAATTTGTTATTTTTCAACGAAAGTACGAGAAGTCTTTCTGGAGAGATCAAAATTTAGGTGTTTCTTTCGTTGAAATGCGAACGTCTTAATCTTCCTATCGGCACCACGCTTAACTCAGCCACGTTGAATCTCATTTTGAAGGTTTGCCTTGACAAAAGTATTAGGTTGCCCAGAAAATCTTTTCTTTCTGGACAGCCTAACATGATTACATTTAGGAGTGGCACTGTGGAAAGAGAAACTTTGCAAGCGTTGAAGCTTGGGAGCTTTTCGACGCAATCGATTTCGATCCACTTGTCGTTTTTGATGGTCCACTTGTGACAAATTTCAATTTTTTGGGTAATTAAACGAAATCGAAATGAATTTAGGATATCGAGAAGTCACGAGAGCTTGACGGTTTTCACGAAGGGGACAGCTCTTCTCATCAATCATCCTGTCGACTATATTAGGGTGTCCGGTATGAAAATACCCTCAACTTCGATTGCAATTTTTCCGGTGTATCGAACAGCTTCGCGTCTGATTTTTGTTTTGTTTTAAAGTTATATATCTTTTCTAATTCTCTGTTTTTGATAAAAATTTACTGTCTTACAATTTTGACTTTTTTTTAGAATGGAAGATCGGAAGTACCGAATTCGAGTGTGCTTGCTCTACGACTTTAAACATGGAAAAAGTGTCCGAAAGAGCCATAGTTCAATCGTGAAATTTTTTTGAAGAAGCTGCTTATTTAGAGGAAGCTTGTAAAAAAATGGTTTCAACGATTTAGAGAGGGGAACGAAACTCTACAGGATCGAGGACGTAGTCACACCCCTCCAGCGCTTAACGATGACGATCTTCGAGAAGCCATAGAAGATGACCCAACCTTGTCGACTCGGGAACTTGCAAAAATGTTTGCTGTATGCCACACAACAATTGCGGACCATTTACATCGTTTGGGTAAAGCGAATCTCGTCGGAAAATGGGTACCCCATCAACTTAGTGACGCTAATAAAGCTACTCGAGTGACTATGGCCGGTATTCTTCTTTGTCAATCAAAAAATCGAGGTTTTTGGGACACTATTGTGACGACCGATGGAAAATGGATTTACTACGATAACCCATCGCGAAAACAGCAGTGGTTAGGTTAAGTCCAGGAGAACAGCCAAAAAACGACGCCACAACGTGATCCGGATGGAAGAAAGGCTATGTTATCTGTTTGATGGAATTCCCGTGGTCTTATACACTTTGAGGTTCTACCTTCTCTTCCAACAGTCACCTCAGATCTATATGTGCAACAGCTGGAACGAGTAGACCAGGCTCTCAAGAATCAAGGTGTAAACACATCGACTGTGAGATATCTGCAAGATTACGCGCGCCCACACACAGCAAAGAAGACGCAGGAAAAACTCGAGGATATTGGGTTGGGAATATCTCCCGCATCCCGTATAGTCCACATCTGGCACCCTTATACTACCACTTATTTGGATCTATGCAGCACTTCCTGACCGCTAAACACTTCAAGAATCACGACGAAGTCTGAATTTGGGTAGGCCAATACTTCGACTCGCAGCCTCGGGATTTCTTCAGCAAAGGGATCCGAGATTTGAAAGAAAAATGGAGAATGACTATTGCCAACAACGGAGAATATCTTTTGGATTAAAGCGCATTGTTTTCTTTTTGTGGAGATAAATTTGTTTTTCATTAAAAGGGTGTTTTCATCCCGGACAACCTAATATGTTGTCAATTAAAAGTGTCTTTCGTTCAAAATACTGTAAAATGTAGATTCTCTGCACTAAAGCGAACGAAATTATTTAGCCGTTAAACTGATCAGCTTTTTTTGAAGCAATTCAGCCTTGTCAGCTGAATACTCTCATTGCAGATTGAGGCAACTTTACAGTATCTTTAAATTTCTTTGATCCATGTATCGGTGATAGATTAATAAATTTATTCAATTGCTTTACTCAATCCAATTCCAACAGCAATGGCAAGAATGAAAGAAATCGAGATTCCGAGCGAAGACAAAGAATCAATCGGAGTAAACACATTGAAGAGCTCCGATAAAGAGATTGACAAGGAATCAAGTGATGAGGGATATTGCCAAAATCTAAAGGTTTTTCCTTCTCAAGCATTCCTTAACCCGGCTACCTGGCTTTTCTCACCAAATCCGAGTAGAAAGTCGTTTTCACCGAAAATTCCAGCGTAAAACTCGAGGAAAAGTTTTCCAGGGGATACTCGATGAATACTTCTCTGAAATTTTGTATTTATTATGTATTTTACCTTTTCAAACTTCATAGCTATTCCATTGATTTTATGATGCAAACGGCTAACGAAAAGAACGGCTTTTGTTGGTAATCGACAAATGGTCGGCTGGATTGGTCGCTCTTCTGTATCTGGTAACCTAAATATAATACGTGATTGTCGGTTTAGTGGCTCCGTTTAGTAGGTCTAAAATTTCGTAGCAAAATTAGAGCCGAATTTGAACCAAAAATTTATCCAGTTTGGGCACATTTGGGCACAGTGACGCCAAAACCGACGAAACTTGGTCAGTCGCTCACCGCTCCTTCGCTTTACAGATTCCAAAAGGGAAGCGGCTTCTACCCGGGCGCTTTGCCAGATGGAGAGCGACTACGCGGCCGCATAAAGGACACTTCGCTAACATTTACATAGGGATTTCTCTTTTGCATTTTAGTTGGCACAAAAAGAAGATATTCAGCTGTAAATTTGTCCCCTAGTGGTTTTGGTGTTGGGGAATCGAATGAAGCTATTTATTTTATTGAGTCGACCAATTCAAAACCAGATTTGATTGGAAGACTTTTAGATAAATTCGGAAACGGCTTAATATGGACAAGTGCCTAAGAGATTTCAAATAATATTTTAGACTTAAAAACTTAAAATCGAACCTCAAAAATGGTATCGCACATTTTCCACAGTTGCATGCATTTTCAGAGAAAGTCGACGTCCAGAAAGCCGAGAGTTGCCCAGCAATCACCCCACATGACTGAAATTTTTCATTTAAAAGACAACTTTCAAGTGAAGATTATTTAAATATTTAAATTATTAAATAAACATTTATTTAAATATTTAAATAAAACCTATTTAAATAAAACTTACATATTGCGCAAAATCAACAAAACAAGTTTGTGTGGTGTTCGTTCCGAAGCGAACGTTCGAGAAAAGCTTTGAGCACGGTTGTTGCCAGTTGAAGATCTCGTTATCTGGAAAAATCTTGCTACCTCTGTCAACTATCATTTTTATAGTGTAATGTTTTTTGAAATTTTAAAACTTTATCTTACTTATTATAAGGGAGAGAGAATGTCTGTGCGTGTCTGTCTGTTATGCGGTTTTAGAAAAAACGGCTGAGCCGATCGAGATGAAAGTTTGACATTATAAAACTAACTTTTTACGTAGTTTCATAAAATCTAAAAATATTTGGCACATAATTTGGCCGTCTTTCCTAAAAAAGCGAAATTAAAGAATACATGCTACCACGTGGTCGAGTGGTATTGCGTCTCAGTGTCCGATCTGCCAAGTTGAGCAACGTTGGGCTCGGTTAGTCTCGGGTTCGATCCCGGCCCGATGCAATCGTTTTTGCTTTCTTTGTTTTTTTCACTTTTTGAGTGAGAAAGTGAGTTCGATTCCTCTAGGGATAAAGGGATTTTAAAGAAAACTATATCTAAAAGAGCAGTGTCTGGCCGTCCGTCCGTCTGTACGCGCGAGTTCTCGGCTCCCCGTGGGCCGATTTACATAAATTTTAGTTTGTTGGGCTTAGAATTCTATGTAGTTGTGCATCTCATATTTCGTTTTTTTCAAAGTAAGTCACGACGGGAGTCGAACCCGGGTCGTGTGGGCGTGGGCAAGTGCCCGTCCGTCCGTTTGTACAAACTTTTTCTCAGCCGTCTTTAGGCCAAAAAAACTTCAATTTTTCAAAAATCTTCAAATTGTGACCCTTAAGGTAAAAATTTTAAAAGTCAAAATTGAGTGGCACTACGAGTGGGGTCGAACCTGAGTCGTGTGAACCGTAGACACTGTGCTATTAGCGTAGCGTAGACACGCTACACAACACAACTCGTGACTGCGCCACGGCGACAAAAACTATTTGTCAGCCCCAAAACATCCAGCCAGAAAAAACCCGCCGTTAGGCAGGGTTTACTAAAAGTAACACTCAAAAAGCATAAGAAATCATAATTTATATGTAAAAGATAAAAAAGGAAAAGAAAAAAGGAAGAATGGGCTTTGGTGGGACGATTTTAAGGAAGAATTAAGCTGGTTACTAAAATTGGAACAATTTTTAACTTTAAAAAATTCCCAATCAACTGTTTGCTGGCGTTTACGGACCTTCAGTGAAGAAAAAGCAAACCTTCCCAATTCGACACGGAAAATTCGATCGGCTCTCCAATCTCATAGCATGAATTTGTCTTATTATTCCGTAAATCCAAAAATTTTTGCGTGATTTGCTTTGGAATCTGGAAAATCGTTTAGGCAAAGACAAATGTGATCACAAAACCGTCACATCCACCAATTGTACAATTGTCGTATTTGAATAAAACGTGATTGAAATTAAAGCATTTTCGCAAATATTGTCCGAAAAATTTCTGAACAACGTGGATAGGAGTTGGATTTTTTTCGAAACTTTACATTTGATCATTAGCAATGCAGGGTGATATTGCGCCGTTTCTATCACAGAGAAACGTTGAGTTGTTTTCCTGTTCTTGCCAAAAAGAAATTGACCAAATAGAGCTAAAAAACACTATAGATAACAATGCTATTGAAAATTATGATATTTCAAGGAATGCAGTTAAAACAGCACCGTCGAATTTCAAATCAAATCAAACAAAAACCAGCTCAAATTTTATACCAAAAAAATTCCTTGTGCTCTTGGCTACATGATGGGTGAAACAGTTTTTGGGGGTGGGACAAATGCGACCTTTTTTTATGCGCACCTGGACATTTGCGCACCTTTTTTTTGCTGGAAAAGGCCTTAGGCAAGGCCGTAGAGCATCAAAAATGTGTTCATAGAAGGGAATCGTATGCGTAGATTCCGAATTTCGACAAATCAGATCTCGCTGACACGTCAAATTTGGGCTAGAAGGCAAAAGCTGCGGAAAAGCGTTAAGTTGCGTATTTGATAGATAAAATTATTGTTGAAAATGTATGTCGAGTGATACACATTTGGTTAATTGAATATCTTTAGAGGCCCATTTTTAACGCTAACTAACTTTTCTAAATCTATGAAATATTAACTTTTTTTAAAAACTGTTTCACTCATCATAGCCAAAAAAGAAAAGAATTTTTATAAAACTATAAAACTTGGTATAAAACTTGAACCGGCTTGGTCTTTTGGATTTTAGGACATTTGACGGCATTGTTTTTTGAACGTTTTCTATTCACTGTTTTAACTACATCCCTATTTCAAGAAACATATGACCTGTCCGTCAAAACTAACCCATTCACACAAGTACTCTCACTGAGCAAAGCAGTGCACATGGAATCGTCCGAAAGTGTCGGCCAACAACCAAGCAAATCACTGAATTCTCATTTATTTTGCACTTACCTATTAAAATTAAACTTTAAATTTAAAAACCTAACTTGAATATCTTTTTTTCACCACATATCTTACGAATTTTACCAGTGAATCAAGCTAACCTTGGTTGTGGCACAGCATTCAAATCAACGTATGACCTTAGAAAAGTCGGATTTGGCGGCTGAGCATTTCCCTCAAAAATCTCGCCGATCAAAGATGGATATCCACGAACTTTTTGAAAGAAATACTCCCTAAAAAGTAAAACAAAATGTTGTTAACAATTTCTTTTCCAAACCAATGCAAATCAAAGGGTAACTCCCATTCGGCGCTCACAGTTAGACAAGTGAATAGCAAGTTAGCTATCATATATTGTTGCATGATTAACTAAAATTGAAGAAATTCTTTAAGAAAAACTTTTCTAAGTTAAAAAAAAGAGATTTCAAACTAGGAAATAAGATATAAATAAGATCTAAATATGTTTCATTTGAACAAGAAATGTTTTTAGTTCTCCTCGTTTCCATGGTTTCCAGCTGAGCGGGAAATTGCTGAGTTTGAAAGGATCTTTGTTAACCTTTAAAGAAATTATCCTGCTTTCAATTTCGAAGTTCTTTTGTTCAACTTTGACAATTGTTAGAGTGAAACTAGGATGTCTCTGAGATGATGTATCATGGTTGTGAGGAAAAGAAAGTCGAAAAAGAAAAGAGAACATTGGGGGGTTATCTCTATCTAATGAGTAATGTCCCTCTTGTGTCCAACTTTCTTTTTCTTTTTCTTTTCTTATGAAGAGTTCATGGTGGTCTTTGTGTTCGTTCGTTCTCCTTTTCACAAATACTACTCCCAGTTTACAGCCCCCGAAAGACCGAAAGAGGCGGACATCCATCGTTTTGTCCCTTTCCCTGCCTTGCTAAAGATGTGAATACTTGAACTTTGACAAGAATCAAAAGACCAACACTTTAATCTTTATAATATTTACAAAATAGGCTTCCAGATTTTCTCTAGAATTCAGCGAGGTTCAACCTTTCAATCTCCACCATGATCAAGAGTTTTTTGATGTTGAAGAAACTAATGAAACCGATCAATACATATTTGACTTTGTTGATTGAATAGTTTGAAATCTTTCTAGAAAAAAAATCCTTTAAAGAAACATTTGATATTCAACACTTTGCTAATTTTCCATTTTCTTTCAGGTGGGTCCACATGGGAAGCATCGAGTTGAATGGAGATATTTGTGAGTGCTGTGTCTGTTCTCTCATTTCCCTTTTCACCTCGCTTTATCCACTTTTTCTCTATTCACTCACTGACACGAAATGCAGTTAGGGTCGCGGAGTTGATGAGACAAAATGAATACGAGCTGAGCCCTGTTTGTAAGTGAATGACAAAACTCGAGTAAGTGAAGAGAAAAAGGGAGGAGACAAATTGCATTCTGAGTGAACAAGTGAAATGAAGGCTTTCTGGTAGTGCTTGGTTTGTTAGCTGTCAATTCAACAATAGTGCCGTTTTTGTATCATTAGTCAAAGCGACATCTAGCACACTAGGTGTTCCAGAAAGCCGATGTTTGCAAACGATCACAAAGTGCAACGCAATGCAATGCGGTGCAATGCAACTTAGCCCTCTACTCTTTCTTGATCAGTTAGTTTAAGTTAACTTAACCGAATAGCTGGCCAGCGCGCAAGACGATTAATCGATTAAAATTTGAATCATTCAACTTTAATCGATTAATTGCCGCGGCACTCTAGCTGTGATTGCATATCAATGTACTGATATCAAATGATTGGGCCTTCTTCTTCACTCACTCTATGCATGATATCCCCTTTCCTCGTTTCTCATTTCCCATTTCGATTCTTATTACTCTTTCTTATCATTTGCGAGCGAAGACCCTTCTCTTTTCCCGCTTTTCCTCGAAAATGTCCCCTATCACTCAATTATAACTATCTTTTGTCCAAGGTGACGCCTAACCCAAAAACAAATCGATTTCATTCAAAAAGTACTGTACTCGATCATTTCAAATTTCGATTTACGTGTCTCATTTCTTTTTGTTCAGCTTACTACTCTATTGAGAGTCGGAAAAAAAGTCATTTTGAGAGACTCTATTGTATGAGAGTGTTGTGAATGTTTGACGCTCGAAAATGAGCGACTAAGAGCACATCACTATTCATGTATACTTTTTTTCTTTTGTTTAAAAGGTTTTTGATTTATTTGTCAAATGTTAGATGATCAAATCGAAGCCACAATTCACTTTATCAATCTTTTTGTGAAACTTATTGTGTTTCTAGGCATTTTTCTAAGCTTTTTGTTGAATTGAATAATCTTTTATGTGATACAATGACAAGAATTTGATTCAATTCGATTCAACTTTCCGATCATTTACCGTATCATGACCATCGCCGTTGTTTGATCATTCTAAACAGAGATCAATGTTTTTGATCTAGGCATTTGGTCCAGACCAAGTCAAGTCAGGTCAGGTTTTCCAAAGTTTTCATTTTTTTGAATCAATATCAAAAACAAACGTAATTTTAAAGTTTAAACTTATAAAGAATTACGTATAGATCACTTGTTCAAAGTAGCTTTTCGATTGCTCGATGTAGGCTTTAGTTTTCCCTTGATTTTCCCCATAAATCCAATGCCAGCTTTGCACTAATCAAAATGTTTTTGTTTTGAAAGCAATGCTCTCTGAACTTTCGATTCACTTGAGCTCATAGTTAGTCTCATCTCTAACAGAAAAGCTTTGGAGCAATGGCGATCGCTCACTCTTTTTGCTTTTTCATCCCCTCAAAGTTGTTGCTAGATCAGAAAGTAGTGAGGATCGAGATTGGCCCTTGGCCAGACTTTCCCCCTTCCCCTTCCCCTTGCCCCTCACCAATTTACCCTCAAACAGCTGACCTACCCGTTTAGTTTTGTTTCTATTTCTATCAAACAAGCACATGCACATCGGCTCTGCCTAATTTTACACTTCTGCTTTCCCCTCATTTCTTCAAATAGCCCTCTCGTAGTTTTCTTGACTCTTGACTCTCTAATTGAAAACTTTGACGCATCACTTTGCTGTAATCGTTAACACCCTTGATCTTCTTGATTCCACTTTTCTCTGACTCTTTCGTTTACTAAGCAAAAGAATTTTCTCAGTTTTAGGAAAGATTTATGCATAGCTTTATGCATAAATCTGCATTTAAAGCCAAAAGGAGCACTTTGAAACATTTCTGCAATCCCATACCGGCTTACTGTACGGAAACTAGTTCTCTGATTGGGTACAGTAATCCGTAATGCGGGAGGGAACTGGTTTTAAAAGATATGAGAGGGCATGAAGGGGTGAGTGAGCTTTGTGTTGACTCCCTTTCAACCAATCCTGTGACTCCGGTACTTACTGATAACGTCTTTTTATGTATGGCGGAGTAAATGTATTGCCAAAGATTAGCCCATTTCTGGCGGGAATCAATTAAAAGGGGTTTGATTTTAAAGTTTTGTATTTCAAAATTTTCGACTGCTTTGAGATCATGAATTTAATAATTACAGTCGACTCTCTATAACGGAATGGAAGGAAAAAAATGCTTCCGTTATATAGAGCTTTCCGTTAGATAGATTGCCGTTTTATATAGCTTAGCGTCGGGTGAGACTAAAATTTCATTATATTATATAGAGTTTTCCACTGTATACATTTCCGTTATATAGAGAGTCGACTGTAATTAATTAATAAACAAGCTATGCAGTTTATTAATTTAAGTTCTTAATTAAAATTAATTAATTAATTTTAATTAAGAACTCGCTTGTGATTTTCTTGTATCATTGAATGTTTATCAAGTGTTTTTAAACGGCTCTGGTTTGTCAAAAAGTTACTTTTCATGAAGTTACTTTTCATTCTCATGAAGTATATTTTAATGTAAGTGTAAACCAATTAAAGATTTCCATATTTCGAATTAAAGTGATGATTAGTGAAGGGGATGGAGAGGGTGGAGGGTTGACAAAGATGCAAGAAAGGGGGTCACGCGAGGCCGTTCGTGGCCCACAATGAGTCATCAATAATTATGAATACAAGAAGTAGCAGGGTGAGTGTTGAATGTGTTTATGGAATCGACAAAGTGAAATGTGAAATGACAGTCCCCCATTCGCCCCACTACTCACTCTTTCATATTTGAGCAGTTCGAGAATCTCTTCCTTGACATTTCCCCTCCTCCCGCCGCCTTTTCCGCGAATTCCCATATTTTCCGTTGATGTAAAAGATAACAAAATCTCTTCTGGACTTTCTCTTCTGAACATTTTAAAGGGTAAACATTCCATTATGATCTTTTCGGTGATCTCGTTTCGAAAAAATATCTGTAATCTGATCAAAATAGACCTCTGTTATGCGAAAATTTGGGTTCGAGTTTAGATCGTTCATTTAGAGCCGATCTGTTTTCACTTTTCTTTTCTTTTCTTTTCTCTCTCTCCGCCCCCATTTACTTCTTTAGGCTCCTTCAATTCAGTTTGACCTCATCAAAAAGGAGAGCGGCTTTATCATGTTAGATCTCATATCGCCCCGGGATCCCCTTTCCATCAAAATTGAGGGCAATCAATTTGCAACAATGATAACAAATCTATAATTGTACGCTAAACACTTATTGTTAACTGTAAAGCAAGAATCCTTTGTTTATACATTAATATATCTTAACAGAAATACACAATCCAAGAAGCTGAATCTCCGTCAACGTGCGCTGAAAGGAATCGGCTCCGCGAGAATACTGTAGTGAAGAAGGAATCGGCTCCGCGAGAATACTGTAGTGAAGAAGGAATCGCATTTTATCGTATCTTTAAGTCTTCTGTTTTCCACAGCAATACTTTAAACTAAAGCCAAAAAGTATTTTCTTTTTACAAATGACAAGCTCTGTAAGCTGATTGCTCTTAATATGGCACACTAGCGACATCTGCTTCTAGTTTTTCTGGACGCGAGATATTTGGCATACAAAATTTAGCCTTTTTTAGCTAGTTTACAAGTTTTTCTCATCATTTCTAAACCTGCTTTGATGGCCTAGTGGCTAGTCTGTCCGCGTTCGAAACTTTCCCCCGCTTGTTCGAATCCCTTCACTGCTCACTTTTTTTGTTTATTTACCGAAAACTATTTTTTAGGGTTTACTATAGTAATAAACTGCGAAATGGCTTATCTCTGGCTTAGAAAAGCCAAGCCGACACCTGTCAATTTGCATTTAATCTTTAATACTGGATATCACAGGTGATCCACGGTATCTATCTACCAGATTTCACAATTTGATCGATCTCTTTGCTCGAGATGATAGAGGATGGCGAAAATGGCGAAAGTTTGCATTAATAAGCACTAATAAGCATTAATAAGCATTAATGAGCTTCCTTTTTTTCCCCAAACATACCTGCCAGGGTCTTCTCGTAACCTTCAG